GTTGTGTGTACAACAGTTATTACCCTATTAACAATAATTATATTATTCATTTTTAAACTTGATTGAATAGGCCTATATATATATATATATATATATATATATATATATATATATATATATATATATCACATTAAGTTTAACACACATTAAGTAAAAATTAAAATATATATATATATATATGTATATATACACATATTAAGTTTAAAACACACACACACACACACACACACACTATTGTTTACATAAATATCATCTAACATTTCTGGAAACACTCCATGTGCCCAACAGTTATAGGAAGTTATGCTACTTGTTTGATTTTAATATTCTGCATCCTGTTTGTTACATTCAAATTTAGAATCTCAGCAAAAATCTTTTTCTTTCATCAACATTCTTTGCTGACCACATTAAATCTTCAAAGAAAAGAGTCCTGGCAATTCTGTGTCTTCTTATCTGGAGTTTAAATAACTTCATCTGCTACAATCTGCAACAGACTGTGTGTTGCATTCCTGAAGAGATAAGATGCATCAATAAAGAGACACATAGAGCATCAACAGATGGATGCTGTCTTTCTGAGCTTTCTTAGCTCACAGTTTGGACACAAGATCACCAGTTATCATATGCAATGTTTAAATTAATGAACAACTATAACATCCCAACCAAGAAATACCTCGATAAATTCCTCTTCATGGGTGTTGACATATTGCGCCAACTCCTCAAATTTGAAGGAAGACGCTCCTGTCCACAGAAGGAAACAGACTAAACTAATGCTGTTCATCTGTGGAGAGCAAACAGAGTCATCAGCAGAAGACTGACATACTGGCAGAAGATTCTTACTCCCAGAATAAGAAATAAAATGTTTTTAAGAGAAATTAATTGACCTACCGTCTCAAGACGATTTGCTTACAAGGAGGTCCAAAGAGCTCAGCGCAGTCCAGTGCTCTGTCCAGATGAGGCGGTGTTAAATAGTTTTCATCATAGGGAACCTCCCGTCGAGATAAGGTCACTGAAGTCTCCTTTGCATGGAAAAAAACAGCCTATAGCTGCCAAAATGAGTTTTCTTGCTGGCAAACACAATCCCTAAAGCAAGGCTGAATAAACCCCTCACGCTGAGTTCAGTATGGAAGCAGATCAACTACATTCCAAAGCTCAAACACTTATAGACAAGTGACTCTGTTGAAAGGACAAACATCAATACTTCACTAGATAACCTGACATCTCTTTGTATGCTGGAAGATTAGTTGAAGTTGGGCCTTGAGTATTTCAATGATGCAGAGATTTGAAGTTGGAAGCTTATGCAGTGTTTAAAATGAGATTCTCAGAACGTTCTGGCAAGGTTCTCTCAAAGTTATGAAGAAACGTTCTTCCAGCAATGATAATAAAGTGATCTGGTCTTTAAAAAAGTTCTCAAAACGTTAGCACAGCAGTATTTATACGTCGTTCTTGGTACATTTTTTCCTGAAACGTTTTAGTTGAACATCTGTCTACTTGTTTCAGAATGTAAATCAAAAGTGACATTCCAATAATGTTTGCAAAGTGTTCAAATGGAATGTTTTCTTAACGTTCTTTCCAAAAAATGGATGTTTAAATGTCGAGATGTTTTTTTCCAAAACTTAATAGGAACATCAGCCAAATGTTCTTAGACCATGTTTTTTGTTAGCTGGGATGGTTGTTGTGGTGTTCCAGTGTTCTAGGGAGCTGCTAAAAAATATTGCCAATGCATTTTTTTATGTGGTTGCTGAAAAGTTGCATTTTCTTGATAATCCTGGAAAAACCTTAAGCCTAATTAGTCAAGTAGGCTAAGTCATAGTACATAGAAAACCTTGGTCAAACTAACATAATGAGTATGTTGACCATTGGAATCTGGTTTTAATAGATGCAGGTCATGCCGAGACCATACCAATCCTGTCCACCATTTTAATTTTCTTTCATAAAACTAGTTTTTCACGCTTCTAGGCCGTTTGTCCGATTTTCACCAAATTGAGACAGATCATCTTCAGACCATGCCAGCAAAAAGTTATGGATTTTATGTTGATAGACAAAACAATTTTTGTATACCCCATCAACGAATTTGATGGCATAATGACAAACTGCATCTGAGACTGTATCTCCAAAGCAATCTCACAGCAAATTCGTACGTATTTTATGCAGTAGCACCTCATTGCAGTACACGAGATCCAGGGGGCAGAGTTGGATCCAGATATAAGGGGTGGAGATGGGTAGGATTAGGGGTGGGGTTAGGGATCAGGGGGTGGAGATGGGTAGGATTAGGGGTGGGGTTAGGGATCAGGGGGTGGAGATTGGTAGGATTAGGGGTGGGGTTAGGGATCAGGGGGCGGAGATGGGTAGGATTAGGGGTGGGGTTAGGGATCAGGGGTGGTTAGGATTAGGGGTGGGGTTAGGGATCAGGGGGCGGAGATGGGTAGGATTAGGGGTGGGGTTAGGGATCAGGGGGCGGAGATGGGTAGGATTAGGGGTGGGGTTAGGGATCAGGGGTGGTTAGGGTTAGGATTAGGGGTGGGGTTAGGGATCAGGGGGTGGAGATGGGTAGGATTAGGGGTGGGGTTAGGGATCAGGGGGCGGAGATGGGTAGGATTAGGTATATGTAAGGTGGGAGGAGTTGTATCTGGATCTAACTCCTCCCCCTGGATTTCCTGTTCTGCAGTGAGGACCATCTCATTTTATGGGGGCTTACTTGTACGACCTCACTTGTTTTCGTAGATTTGTCTAGACCCCAGTGATGGGTAGGTTTGGGTTAGGGATGGTCCTTCCTGATTATGTTTTTTGAAAAAAATTATGAATTGTACGAATTAGCCACCTCGTACAATACGTACAAATTTCCGTGAGATTGGGTTGGTATCTCTGGAAATATTTGACAAATTGACACCAAACTTTATGCGTGTTGGCTAATTCGCCTTTGGCTAAGCCACACCCCTAGAATGTAGATTGACCAATCACAGTGCAGCCAAGAACGAGCTCCCACAGTGGTCCAACACTTTTTCACAGCGCTCCATTGACTTTAACACAGGCATCTCATATTTTTGGTCTCGGCAGGCTATTACCGTCGTAGTTTTATAAAAAAAAATATGGTTAAACGTTGTGCCTGGGGCATTTGTAACACAGATACGCGTTTCCCAAACAGGTTGGAGGGGGGTGTCCGTTTTTTTCCCTTCCCAAACCGAAGTCAAATCCTGACAAGTGTCGTCTAGCACACGCTGCTAATAAATACAACGTTATACTTGCCTAGTCCGTTTGCTTCGTAATAACGATTATAGAAGTGAATAGAGACCTAACGTTACCCAGCTTTGCATGAACAGTGTTGCTCCTTGATATTGTTAGTCCCAGCCTCCGTCTCGATTAGTAGGATATGCGGTGGTTCATTTTTTGACTGTGACCGGTATGCTTTTGGCTCTATTTGGATGCCTTGTTGTTCCTTGCGTTTCACCTGTATGTCGTGAATATAGCCTTCGAACGTATATTGCAGCCCCTTTTGCCTACTTCTATCAGACACTTTATATGCTGCTTTATAAAGGTTTGATAAAATGTCAGCAGGAAGAGCTGTCACAGCATAAGCCATGTTGATACCAGAGCCCAGATGAAGTTTGTTTGTCGGACGTAGCAACAGTAACTAAGGGGGGCGGGGCTTAGCCAAAAACTTAGATTTTGAAATGTGGGGGGGACATGTCATGGGGACATGGGACATGTTTTCAATCAGTTATGTCGCTTCACTGCCATTCATAAATCCTCTCCCTTGGCCTCATGAGATATAAAGTGTCCATCGAATGCACACTTCAGAATCATGCCAGGTCATCCGTACTCTTTGAGTAGCCTGTGAATTGGGAAATACCTTTTTGTCACACAGGGCCTACTGTTTTTTGCCTTTAGGCCTACTGTAATATCGGATGCAGCCATTGTATTCATGGTCATCTACTTCTATTAGTTTCAAACTAGTAAACTAATGTAACCTACCGTATATGATTTCACTGCTAGGACTAAAAGTTTGATTTCAAAATGCAAATAAACTTTGATGTGGAACTGATTTAGCAGAATGATTTAAGCCATTTGAACTTTAAACACAGGGGGCCTTATTAGGTGATCAACAATGAACTTTTCTTTAATTGTGTTGACAGCGTCAACATGCAGTTAATTCAGAGCATGCAGAATATTTCCGTTCCTTTTAACTTGTGCATCCTCTGCCAGCATGTTAGATGAGGTTAGTACGGTGAACGCTCCAGTGTGCAAAATATACACCAATAATAACTTGCATTTTTGCAAGCATACTCAGGCTGTGGTCATACCAGCAAACAGCAAATCCTGCATGTGTTGCATATGAGTGGGGGTTTCAGAGCATTTTTTATTCTTATGAGATTAAATATGAGTAAATAGGTTAGTTCAGTATTTCTGGAATTCTGACCCCTGAAAGTTGGATTAGTCAAGAAAGAGATTAACTATATAGAGCAGATTTAACATCAAGGTCCTTAAAAAACTTATGCAAAAGACAGTTTCAGAGGAATACCACAAGATGGGGCCCTTGAAAATGTGATTTTAGGCTTGAAGTTGTCAGATAATAATCATCTACAGTCCAGCTTTTAATACGTTATGCCCTTTTATACTACAATAAGGTGACCTGGTGTATCAGCAGAAGATATTTCTTTTATTTCTCATTATATATATATTTGTTTTATAACAGTACCAGTCAAAGGTTTGGAATATGTTTTTGACAGAAGTCTCTTCTGCTCACTAAGGCTTTTTTTTATTTGATGAAAAATACTGTAAAAACAGTAATATGTTAAAATGTAATTTATTCCTGTGACTGAGGGTGAATTTTCAGCATTACTCCAGTCTTCAGTCAGTGTCACATGATCCTTCAGAAATCACTAAGTGGCGATGTCGACTCTTAACAAATTCATCCTCATTCTTTTTGGTTAAAACTATGGAAATGTTTATTACTCATACTTCATCATACACAGACATTTTAGGTATGGCTTAAGTACAGTGTACAGTATACAGTATATCATAAAACAAATGGGATGTCTCAACTAATTACCTTATTTTTATTTATTTTTATTTCAGAAGATGTTTCAGCCTGATGATTTGGGCCAAAAGTGTTTGCATGTTTAAAGCTTCAAAGTCACAGCGCTTGGCTTTTTTTCCTAGAAGGATCCTAGAAGAAAATAGATGTCAGAATTTATATTGAAAGGTTATGCAAAATAAAAATAAAATTAAAAAGCAGACTCACCTGGTTCAACCACATTCCGTTTCCCCATCAGACCCACAAAAGTCTGGAATTTCTGCCCTGGAAGTCATTTGTGTGATGATCAGAAAACACATGATCAGATTTGATTCATACATGATTCAGCATGAGCAGTCACTTTTACTTTTGAAAAAAACCTTATAGTCACATTCACTTAAATGCACAGATTATAGGATAAGTGCAAAAAAAAATCAAACTAAGCAGTTCTGAGGAATTTGATTAGGAAAGCTCGCCAAAATCCACTTACGTCTCCGTGTTATCTGTGATTTTGCTGTGAGGAGAAAGCAAACCTGATGTCAACATAATTATTTAATAATACACATTTAAAACATACACACACATATATAACCATACATATATTTACCAGATGATCTTTTCCCCATTAGACCGTAAGCCTGTTGTAGTACAGGAGTTCGGCTGACCTTTTCCAACAGTGTCTGTAGCTTAGACTCCAGCAAATTTACCTTCAGATGATATAATTACTTAAATATTGCAACCAACTGATAATCTTTCATTAGAGACTGTTGTTAAATAATCATGTATTCATATAATTGAATATTTCATTCCTATGCAAATTATATCACTTCTATATTCCATAACTAACAACAATGCAAGAGTGAAATCACTCACCTCGTCCGGGTACCTGTCATTCATCCAGTTATCCTCATCAGGGATGAAGTTCTGGCACAAAATATCTGTCAAAGCAGACACCAGCAGAAGAATCAGCAGCAAGATCTTCATGATGCACTGATGTTGTTGCAGTTCAGTTCAGTTGACGGATTACCAGTGACCAGACAATAATCACTAGTCTGATGCCAAACAGAAACCCAGTATATTCAGACTGGAACTAAATAACCTGAGCATTGCCTGTGATGATCCCTTTACTCAGATGTGGTCAGGAGCTCTGTTTAAATAGGGATGGTGAAACGGGCACATGATGAATCAGGTGGCAATTATAAATTATTAAAAGAAAATTGCTGCTTCACTGGATTATCCCTTTGAGATTCATCCACCATCGATTCCAGCTATTATTCTAATGATTCTGCATTTGACCTCTGATCGACTCCTGGTTCAGATCCTTTGAGATGCTTCATTCATTTGAAGGAGTCTCAGAATTAGACAACTTTACTTCATGACACTTCATGGTTTTCTTCACTCACTCATTCCACTGATGCGGCTGTGATTGATTTCTGTAAATCTATCTTGTCCACGTGCTTGTCTGTAATGTGCTTATTTATTAATTAATTAGATTAATAATTGCATTTGAATGTGCATGATGTAAGCAAGAAAAAGAAAAAGTATGATTAATAAAAAATAACCATATGTGATATGATGGGAAAACAATCTGTATGATGAAATGTAAAAGTGTTGTTGTTAACTAAAATTATAAATAGAAATATTAGATGAAAAACTTAAATTTAAAAATGATGCCTGTGGAACAAATTTTAAATACGAAGTTGAAGTACTAAAGTTATTAAAACTACAACTTAAATAAAAAAAAAAAATTAATGCTAAAATAAATTTAAAAAAGCACAAAAATACTTAAACTTAAATTGAAAACTTAAAATATAAAAATATAATTCAAAATTTTAATAAATACTATAGTAGTATATAGGCCTAAGAAAACGTAATTAATAATAATAATAATAAAAAAGTATTAAAGATGCCCACAAGGAAATAACATAAAAGTCTCTGAAATGGATGTCCGATTAAATAAAAGGAAATAGTCGTTGCTGTTCTTTCCACTCCAGTATTTGAACCATTTTGCGTAGTAATCTCAAAGCTCTGGTAATCTGCTACGTCTCGTCTCTTATTGGCCATTTGAAAGTGTCACTCAAACCTGACAGGCCTCCGTAGGTCACGCCCCCGCGTTTATCCATATGAGGAAGAACTTGAATAAAAGTGAAACAATGTAGCACAGTTTCAGGACCGGGCACTTTTACGAACAGCTTAATAGTTCACACGTGTTTATAAACAAATAAATGCCCGTTTTGAATTGAGAATCATGTATTATTGTCGATTACTGCTGATTTATTTTTATCTGTTATATTTATGCTTTGCGTTTCGGGTAAATGCAACGACTCCTCCGAGAAATGTGAAATCGTGTGATAATCTGGAGCACATAGACTCTGTAGAGCAGAACACGGGTAACACTAGATCCAGAGGAAGGTCCAGTGAAGGTCTCGGGGGGTTTGAACCGGGTGATCCTGCTCCTGCCTTCCAGGTTCAAACTCTGGATGGAGTGTTTATTTACAATCCCCAGAATGAGTCGAGGCGCGCGCTCATCGTGCACGCGTTCACTAATAAGTCCGCGTTTGTGGAGTGTCTGTGGACGTGGAGCGAGTCTGTGTCGGACCTGCTGGAGTATCTGCCGTCCAACACCGAGGTCCTGCTCCTGTCCCTGGATGAGACTGCACTGATGGACTCGCTCTGGATGAGGGAACAGGTGTACAGAGCCGCTGCACACAGGTACTGACACGGGAGGAGGGATAAACACACACACACACACAGACCGGGCTATTGTTCAGTATCAGAGGACCGTTATATTAGGCTACCATCTGATACTATCACTGTACATGTGCAGTGTTTGCTAATGTATTTATTTCAAAAAGTATGATTTAATAGTGTAGCATTCTTTACATTATTTTGGAGAACCATTTAAATATTATAGTATGCGAATATGTAAACATTCAATAGATAGATTTCTAAAGACAGACAGACCAAGCTTTTTTAATTCCTACATTTATTTATTTATCTATCCATCCATCCATCCTTTCTTAATTCCATCCATCCATCCATCTTTCATTCCTTACTTCCTTCCATTCAAATTTCCATCCATCCATCCATTTTTCTTTCAATCCTTCCATCCTTCCTTCCAAAAAGTACTAGGTTGTATTATGATTTTAGGACGTAATACACGTTATTAGTTTGGAAAAGGATATATCCAGGGCATATAATCAAAGTACCACGGTATTACCATCTGACACCACGACTGTAGCACTGTACCACTACAGTAAGCAAAAATTGTCATTTAAGGCATTCATAAATTAACATTAAGATTTTCTTGTTAGAGGAAAAGAGATCTTGTCCAGGCTGCATTTCTCTCCTACGCCCGTGTTCGCGCTGGGAAACTGGATACCCAGAGTTCTGTACTCATGGGGGTGCGGTGGTCACAACTGCGGCCTCGCTCAGGTGCTTTTCTCCTCTCCAGGTGAGTGTGGATGTCTTGATGGGATCACATGGCTTGGTTGTTGTACTATGTTGTCATACTGGGGGTGTCATTTCTTAAAAATTCATTAGATTACTGATACATTCTGGAATTGCAGACTGGAGCATACCGCTGATCGCCAAGCGTCTGAATGCCCGATATGACTGGCTGAATGGTCGCTGGGGTGCAGATCCATACAGACTGCTGGATGCAGGGGATGGCTGTGAACCTGTGACGTCTGTCAAAGGTGCTGTCGCATGGGTGTCTGAGGGTGGCTGCTCTTTTTTCAAAAAGGTGAGCTATATGAGCAATGCAACATGGATGTTTGTTTGTTCAAGACACAAGATACGGCCCGATTAACAATGTTTTTGAATGTTTAAGATAAAAAACATGGCTGAATCCAATGCTACTGGGGTGCTGGTGTATGCCTTGGCCGGGAATCCCATACAGGACATGAACTGTTCAGGAGACGAATGTTCCACCTCGCTCAACATACCTGCGTCTATGGTTCATATTGAACCCTCTGTCATGCAAGCCGTACGGTGAGCAAATACTTTATAGCCCATGACTGGGCACATAGTTACAGAGAGATGGATTGTTTGTTCTTCTTTTACCGCTGGGTTAACATTGTTTGGGTTAACATAGTTTTAATCGCTTTTTTTCTGGGTTTGTAATTAATCTCAGTACTCCGATTTTGATATTTCACTCTGTACATTTGTAATCTCAGGGTTAATCTCAGTGTTGTAAAAAAGGTTTTTGTTCATTTAAATTAAGCTGAAAGAAAATTAAATAACACTGGGTCTTATTTGCATATCGGAAATGCTGTAATGTACTTCCACCAATAAATAACATTGTTTATTCTTCACCGCAATTAAATAATGTGCCATCATGTTAAAGTAGTTTTAAGTACTTTTTTTAGATAATGCAACCAAACAGTGTGTTAAATTTTCTGTGCCTTTAACCCAGGGTAACCTAAGGTTAAAAATATTTGTAAAGTCTTATACATTTGAAAATATCCGTGTGAATTTGCAGCCTCTACTATGCCTTAATTGTGTCATTTAAAGTCTAATCAGTGTTTTTTTTTTTTTTTTTAAATGATGTGTGTATTGTTTGCAATAGAAAGGGCCGTCCTGTGAATGTAACGTTCCAGATCACACCTTCACCAAACTTCTTCTTTGGGATCGACCAGAAGGGGGCGCTGTCTGAGATGGGCTGGTTTCTCTACCCAACCTTTAGATTCATGGCCTGGCAGGCTCAGTGGTAAGATCTGTTGGGCGAAATATTTATATCCATCCATTGTCAAATGTTTTTTGGAGTTATTGTGCGATACTGATAATCTTAACTTTGCCAAGTATTGGCCTGTCCTAAAATCCATCTCACATTTATGTGATCCTGTAGGTTCACATTCAAAGAGGCTTTGCAGGAGCAGCTAAGTCGGCCTGCCTTAATAGTACCTGTGTTTGAGCGTCATCTGATGCAGGGAGAGACGGGCGCTCAGGCTGTGGTGGATCTTCCTGGAGGTTTGAGCTTCACATTATTAGTAGCATCTACCAATGCAGGCCTGTCATTCAAAACTAGACATCAGGATTTTTTTCCTGCTTTTCTTTATAGACATTTCAAAATATGATGTTCTGGAGTTGGACGCCTCCCTGTCCTGTCCCGGTCGCAGGGACGAGACATGTGCTCACTGGGATCACACTGTACAGCTGTACATATGCTGCGATCACACCAGCCCCTACTGCAACCTGGAGCTCGGGCGCTGGATAACGGCCTTCCGCAGGTACTTGAACTGAATCTTTGCTATTCTTTCAACACCATCATTTTGGACCATTTTTGAATTAGTCTTAGTCGGCGTGCTACTATTTGAAAATGTTTGTGACTATCTTTACAGAGGCACAGGTCATTGGCTGACGGATGTGTCCCCTTTAATTCCCCTGCTAAATAACAATAAGTGTTCCTTCAGCATGAAGACTGCGCCATGGGCGATGCCATGGATGACATCTCTAAATCTGCGCTTTAGTCACAGCAACCAGACAGGTCAGAACATTGTACTACAGGTCATTAAAGCATTCAGTGTGGCAACTTTGTGCAAGGTCTTTAAATCAAGTGATTTTTTGGTGGATGTGTAAAGTCAGTTCATCACATTAACTATTTTCCACTAATGCTTCACAAACACAAAGTGATGCAATTTTTGTTGTTGTTCTCATTGTGAACAGTATACACTACTGTTCAAAGTTTGGGATCAGTAAGATTTTTTTTTTTTTTAAGGAAATGAATATATTATAAAGCATTAAATCAAAGTGACAGCAAAGACATTTATAATGTTACAAAGGATTTGTGTTTCAAATAAGTGCTGTTCTTTTAAACTTCCTATTCATCAAAGAATCCTTACAAAAATATATCATGGTTTCCACAAAAATATGAAGCAGCACAACTGTTTTCAACATTGATAATAATAATAAGAAATATTTCTTGAGCAGCAAATCAGCATATTAGAAATATTCTGATGGATCATGTGACACTGAAGACTGGAGTAATGATGCTGAAAATTCAGCTCTTGACATCACAGGAATAAATTACATTGTAAAATTTAAACAGAGAACAGTTCTCTGTAGTAATTTTATCCCTTAACTCATCTTTGATCACCAAAATTACATATTTAAACGTTTTTTCCTTGAAATTCTTTTTATCATGTCTTAAAATATCTTGAAAGTAACTCTACACCCTTTCCTCATTTAGTATAAGCGGTTCTATGAATATGCAAATGAGCCCCGCCTCCACTCACTCACACCAGCTCAGAGATCCACTGGTTGAGGTTACAAGGTAGTTTGTGACGTCAGAAACACCAGCGATTTCAAACCGCGTTTTTGAGACTGTCTCAGCAATGGGGTTGACTTATGAATTTGCACATGGTTTGTCTTAAAGCATATTAAAAACACAACATAGACATATAAACAACATTAAAAACTTGATTTTCACTACTGGGGGACTTTAAATTGAAATAATGTTTCAAAATATTGCTGTTTTTCCTGTATTATTAATTGAATAAATGCAGCCTTGGTGAGCATAAAGGCCCGATATACTTAAAGTAAAATCGAAGAATGAAGTGATGTGACATCATTTTCATTTAGAACAAAATCAGGCCTAAACAAAGTTCGTTTCGGGAGTTCAAAGCAGTTTGCCAAAGTGAACTTTCCGTAAAAGTTTGCTCTGGCTGGTAATTACCATTGAGCTACTATTGGTCCCTGGCGATGATGTAATAGGTGGGTGTGGCTCTGAGGCTCCACCTTCTTTGACGTGGAAATCGTCTCCAGAACATAAGATTAAATATTTGCAAACACACCCAATATGGGAAAGAACATCTCGAAGACTAATTTATTGTATGCAGCTGTAAAAGCTGTTACTCACCCACACATGTTCTATCAAGTCATCCTCAAAGGAACCATGTACCTTACAGAGAACTTCAGCGCAGTCTGTTACTCCAGGTTCCTGCACACTTGTAGTTTATACAGTCAGCTTAAATAAGCTTATAAGTATTTGAATGTATTTAAAGGTCATTAAATGTTGCTCGTTGCTCTATTTTTAGTGCACTTGCAACAAATCATAAATACACTATGTTTGGAAGATGCATTTAGGGCAGGGCTTCCCAAAATACGTCAATGCAACTTCAGTTACTGTAGTAATAAACCTAGTTAAGTAGTTTGCAGAGGGATGAGGGACATATGTTATGAATATTGACACCATCTGCGATTGTCTTCACAGGTAATTACTCTGAGAGCTTGTACCCTTTCAAGGTAACATCACTCTTCTCTGGTGGGACATTTGACAAAGACTATAACAGCAGATACCAAGAGATCAAGTTCAGTCTTCCAGCTTCAACAAAGAAGGTGATGATAAATTATTATTATTTATAATAATAATAATACCAACAATAATACAAATTTTATAATAAAACACATTTACAATGTAAAATTAAAAGTAACATTTTATTGAAAAAAAAAGTATAAAGTAAAACCTTTCCATGAATTTAAAGTGTTTTGTGTTGGAACGTCAGGTGGAGTTATACAGCATTATCACGGCTCACGGATCTGACGAGAACTTCTGCGGTGAATTTTGTGTGACATCGCACCACTTCCTGATCAACAGAGCCATCAATAACACACTCATATTTGAGTCAGCTGGTTAGTAGGACCAGGGTGACTGGATGGTTGGACTGTGACACTTGATAACATTTTATCACATGAATTAAAGTGATGTGCTCACACTGTGCCAGTGAGTAAAACAGATGTGCATTTCTGGGTAGGATCACCCCTGGGCTGTGCCATGCGGGTGCCTGAAGGTGGAGTGCCCAATGAACATGGCACCTGGTTGTACGGTCGCGGAGGCTGGTGCGACGGGCTCCAGGTGGATCCGTGGAGGACCGACATCACTTCCCAGGTACAATAAATTGGAGCAGAACAGAATGCAGAAACATTAAATATGATGAGGTCTTGTAACAACAATGACTGTGTTTACATTTGCACCAATAATGGGATTATTTCATTGATTTAATCAGAGTACATGACAAGATTTTACATGACACGAGCAAACCTCTTCACTCCTGTTTACGTTAAATTTTCATTATTCTGATTGTTCACTAAGAATTGTGGTTATTTTTACCTCCGTTGTTCACATACCCCAATGCACAGCACAGATAATGACGTCTCATACTGTAGGTGTGTTACTGGCCACTGTTTCAATCTACTTGCGTCAAATGCAAAACATACAGACTAATGTTTTCAACCATCAAAATACTACATTATATTAATGTTGCACAACTTGAACTCAGTTTCTTCAGCACCCCAAAAATATGATGCCTTCTTTACCGCAATGTTTATGAATAAGCACATGACAATGTTGTCCATGTATGTCACAAGCACATGCACAGAGTGGAATATATATGATTAAATGTTTACATGCCTGTTTATTGTGATTTAAGATCAGCATACGCCACATATTTTACTACTATTATGGTTGCTGCGATTAGGAGCTTAATCACATCAATGTGTTCAAAGTATTGTTTACATTAGGTAAATTATATTGCCTGAATGTCATTGTAGTCACATTATTAGGGTGCATGTAAACGTATTCAGTGCAACGTGTTACTGTTTATTAGTTTCTTAGTGCAACTATAAAACAGGTCAGGCTGTTCTAATGATTTATGCGGTGCATGATGTGTTAATGATTTAAACGCATTTTGTTCTTTTCACAGCTGGATATGAGTGGAACCAATTCTGTCCTTTACTTTGGACTCTATGAGGGACGTAACCCAAATCCAAAGACTGACCCCGGGTACATTATTATGTACTCATATCTAGTGTTTTATAAATGATTTTACAGATCTGCAAATGTATTCTTTTTTTTTTTTATTCTCACTTGAATCTGAATTTTTTTTGACAGCATTGATCCTTAATTTTCTTTCATTCAGAATCATTTTTGTTTCAATGATTCATGTTAATTTAAGTATTTCCTCATGCTGCTCTTTTTTTAACCAAAAAGTTATTTATGTTTATTTGCAATCTGAGATTATTAAAAATATCAAACTTTTACAACAGGTGACTACTGAGATTAGACACTCTAGATGGGATTTAAAAAAAAAAAAAACGAATAAATTGAGATATTTTGGTAACACTTTACAATAAGGTTCATTAGTTTACATTAGTTAACATGAACTAAGAATTAACAAAACTTCTACAGCATTTATTAATCTTTTTTTAAATGTTAAAGGTGCTGTATGTAACTTTCTCACTACTAAAGCATAAAAATACCATAATATGTTTGCATATGTTGAGGAAACATGATAAGTTCACATACTCGTTTCTTTGAAAAACACTTCTTCAGCCAGTTATTTTACTTTGAAATGTGCGTTTCCAGGCTGAAATGTGTGTTATTGTTTTGGTTTTTGATACTGCACGTTGCCAATTTTCACTGTCCATTGCGCTCGTTCCTGTTGCGTGTGCTCAAACTGGCAACCCGAGCGAGCGCCGTCCAGTCTGAGGAGCCAGTGGCGTTCTTACAGACTGCACCTTTAATTTCAACATTTACTAATACATTATTAAAATCAAATGTTGTATGTCTTAACATTAGTTAATGCACTGTGAACTAACATGAACAAACAATCAACAGCTGTATTTGTATTAACTAACATTAACAAAGATGAATAAATACTGTAACAATTGTTCGTTCATGTTAGGTAATACATCAACTAATGTTAATGAATGAGACCTGATTGTAAAGTGTTACCTGTATTTTAATAAATTGTTTGTCTTGAGAGACACACATCAGTCTCGCTGAGGTCATTTATTTGTATTAGCCTGACTTGTGCAAAACCTGAGTTGCCTATGTAGGCAGCATTTTAAGGCATCATATGTGCTCCCAATGCAAAGGCTGTTCCAGGAAGTATGATTATGCTGTTTTCTAAAATACTGTAGCCTACCTTCATTTGGTCCTCCTTTTTGAAGAAGAAATCCCATAATGCATTCCAAAGAGCTCAGTGACAAGAGAAGAATCCTTAATTTTAAAGTTAAATCTAAAAGTATCAAGCAAGTTGCTGCCTATCTAAAGTGTTAGAAGGTATAGTTGCAGACATCAGCGCAGCTTAAAGATAGCCTGTGAAATTTAGGATGATAAAGTGTGTTTGCTGCTACGACCCCGTCTACTGATTAGCTAGTGATAATGCAACATGAAATGACATATTGATCAATACGACATCTCTAAAATCTAAATACCATGGAGGTGAAAAGAGCTAAAAGGAATAGTTGCACAAAAACCACTATTCATCTTGCTCTATTTGTTTACCACTAGCGCATGCTGATGACGTTTTATTCTTCTACTAACTAAAGATTTTAGGTGTCTTCATCGTACAGTCTACATACATGTCATGCCCAAGTTTATTAGATCCATGTCGTACAGTGTGATTTGTAATGATCTTATAAGATTGTTGAAATCGCAGTCTGTCGAAGGTATACAGAGATTCTTCATTAAAGTGTTTCATCTAAAGTTTTTTTTTCTGTTTGACAATTATATGCAATTAGGCAAGTCTCCAGTAGCTTCTTAACTTAAAGTGGAAGGAAGACCTGGAAATCTTGATCTTCATTCTTGAGAAAATTGCTTTTGACTTTCAAGGAGCTTTTAAGTATTATTCTGACGACTGACCCATTGTGACAGTCTCTGAGTCACAGGTCATCCTTGCTCTATAATTGAAGTGTTGTACTTCTAATGCTGGTTGCACATAAATTAGAACAGAACAGAAAATGCACTTTTTTATGTCATGGACATATTTATATATACGGTGCTTAACCTGCATATAGTGTGCTGTACAGTAGCCACATTTTTTAAATTATCAATACAGGATAAGAGATCTGTGACGTAAATAACAGCTAATAAAAGTTGTATGTGTCAAGTTGCAATAAAAAAGGTGACAGATGACTAGTGTTTTCAGTCGCCCTCATCGATTTAAAATTTAAGAAGTCATTTTAAATATGCTGTGACCAAAACTGCACCAATATGGTAAGTCATATTTTTCTGTAGCTGAATGTAGCCTAATACAAGACGGCTGCAACCCCTTCAGCCGTTACTTATTCACGATACAGCACTTGCCTCGAGTACCTTATTGCTTTTATAAAACGGTTTCCACACAATACAAATATTAAAGTTAAAAAAATATGTATTAGTGCAACTTTCATCAAGTAAAATCACTAAAAGCCTTCCTTCCGCTAGAAAAAAAAATAGTCCCTGACCGTGAACAGCAACAAAGTTCCAATGTGTAATATTGGTAATATGCATGAAAGCTCAAATAAAAACAACATAGGAACTGCAGTGTTGCGCAGTGATAAATAGAACCGTTGGGTGAAGCGGTCATAGCCGTGTTTTATCATGAATAAAGCACAGCTATTGACCAATCAGAATCAAGGATTGGAACTAACCGTTTTATAAATATTTATATATAATAGTTATATTGCTTGTTTTTTAATTTTTAAAGAAAAAGTCTCAGCACGTATTGCTATTTTTTGGGATGTTCATTGGTTTCCTCTTTGTTCAGCAACTCATAAGTGTTAGATTCGACCTTCTAGCCAGAGCACGTGCCACTCCACATGCTCTTTCCTCTCAAGCCAAAAGTCATGCATGGAAAAAGAATGGTATGTTCATTATAACTTACTCATATTTTGAGTCATAATGGCATTGTATTTACAGTACCACTCAAAAGTTTGGACACGGTCTCAAATTTATTTCTTGTATTCTGCAACTTTAAGAAGACAAAAATAGTTAAAACTTTTGTTTTATAAAGAAATTAATTTGTATGCACAATTTATATTTGTTACATTTGTCTACAAAACTCATTTCAAGCATTTAAGCAGAAGCATTTTGATAAAAAAAAATTGGTAATATTAGAAAGATACAGTAAACTACCGTTCAAAAGTTTGGTGTCCCTAAGATTTTGTAATGTTTTTGAAAGAAGTCTCTTCTGCTCAACAAGGCTGCATTTATTTGATCAACAATACAGTAAAATCAGTAATAATGTGAAATATTATTATTATTATTTAAAATAACTGTTTTCTATTGTAATAAATGTTAAAATGTAATTTATGTGATCAAAGCTGAATTTTCAGCATTACTCCAGTCTTCAGTGTCACATGATCCTTCAGAAATCATTCTGCTGATTTGCTGCTCTTGAACTTTATATTTATCAATGTTCAAAACAGTTCTGTCAGGTCCATAAAGTCAAGAACACACAGACAAAATAATTAAGAATTATTTGAATAGATTGCAAACAGGTTGATGTTCCTGAATTGAAATTTGGCAGTATGGCTCTGTTCAGGGAGTCCTCTGACCTTTCATGAGCACCATGAAATAGCAGAGAGTCAGAGGACAGCAGCAGCAGCATTAGGGAACGCTCACACAGTTTTAGACTGTGAGAGCTAAAATATCCCCCTGTGAACCGAGCAGGCAACATGACATAGCAAATGCCACGTTATGCATAAGGAGGAGCTGGGGAGGTGGCGGGCAGCAGAAGCGAGCAGCGAGCATGTATGAGCAAGGTGAATGAGCTTTAAATAGGGCGCCTTGTTTGAGCTTTGGCCATTGAGCAGCGAGGGGAGTTAACCAGCTAATGCGGCTCAGCTGGAGCAGATCAGCTGACGGGACAGTGTTGATAGCAAATAGCATAAGCAGCGGCTTGACTACCTGGCCTGCCAGAACTGACGCTGACGCTCAATTTGTGCTGTCTATTGAAAATATTTTTTTTTATCAAATTAATTAATCCTTGCTGAATCAGTGAAACCCCAAACTTTTGCTTGAATTTCTCAGATGAGCTGTCACAGTCCCTGTATTCCCGTGTGTGTGTGCTGTGTTGGATCATGACGAGCCCAGTGGGCATTTGATGTCAATTTAACATCAAAATGACATCAAACATTGACGTCAAAATTACGTCACGAAATAGGTCAAAAATGAAAGTCAAATTGACGTCAAAGTGACAACGTCAATTTGATGTCAAGATTTTGACCTCTGCCGATGTCATTTTGATGTCATGCTGTTTGCATTTGATGCCAATTCAACATTTATTTGACGTCAAGATGTCATGATGTTGATGTCATTTTAATGCTATTTTGATGTCATTCAATATCAAGCTTAAATATCAATTCAACATAAATGTGACATCAAACATTGATGTCAAAATTACATCAATTTATTGACATATTTTGATATCATTTCAATGCCAAGCATCACTCAATTCCAACCTTAATGTACAATGACTGACAACATACACATACTTTGAGATCTGATATGTTTTTATTTTATTTTTTTGAGCAGTGTAATACAGTGGGGGCGCTTTGGGTTCAGACCTCCAGGGCTCTCAAGTGCCTGTAAAAGGGAACAAGAGAACAAGAAAGCAAACATTAAAATGGGGCCTGTCCATTAACATAACTAACGCTTAGTACCCATCAGTAGTAGGCTACTCTACAGTATATAGACAACTAAAGATAATCCACATTATAGCCTAATCACATGCAGTAGTCAGAGGTCCAGATGTGTACTAATATATGAAAAATGGATCGAGTCAAACTTTTGTTAATATCTGTTAATAGTGTCATATGTCAGGATCTCATTTCACTGCTAGTAATCAGTCCACATTTTGTACTGAATTGTAGAATGTGAATATTCATTCAAAGCCATAGAGCAGCGATATCAAAACATCACATTCGTCCGAGCTCTTCCCTATGTAGGCTATTAGTGTCTCATTTCCATGGAGAATATTTTTACCCCTATATCTTTCCACTCTGTTTCGAAGGATACTGTGTAGGGGTAAAATGAAGGGGAAGGGTAAAAACAGAGAAATGGGATTGGGCCTAGATCTACATTGTTTGCAGCAGCTCCTACCTTCCGGCGTCCAGTGCCCCCTCTTCTGTCCGGTGCAGCGCACAAATGGTTGGCCGTAAGGCTACCAATGGAAGCTTCTGTGATGCCGGGTTGTGACTTCTGGATGGCACCTGAAAAATGTAACAGCAATTGCCATTTATCTTGCACATACTGATCAAAATAAAAATCATGTAGAGAATAGAGCTATAGGTAGTGTAGGTGCACAAATAGAAAATATAATTACCTATTGTGACCTTATAAAGTTCCATTCTTCTGAAAGGCAGCTTGTCACCAGTCCCATCCATGTTCATTATAGACATGAGGCGATTTGTGAGCACTCTGTCAATAAAAATGGGAATAAACAAAGTTATACATGCTGTACAGCAAGAAATGTGAAATAATGTCAGGGCTCACAAAATCGTTAGCCCGACGTCCCGGGGCTATTGTGTTTTCCAGTCGGGCTACCAAAATGCATAACTGGCCTGCCCGACGGGCTATCTGAAATAGTGTAATCAAATCCCCCTAAACTTCTGCCTCGCCCCCTAAAAATTTGTGATTAATTGTAAACTACAAACATTCGTGTTCGCTTCAGTCTTGTTATAATCAGATTCAGTGTGTTCTTCATCTTCAATCCGCAGATGTTTGCGTACTCATTTAAGAATATTAAATACATTTTAAGATATTAACAGCACAACTTCAGAGACTGACCTATTCATCACAATGTTGACATTTTCCCGCAGGGTAGCTGCACCAATTTGACATCGGATCTGTCTGAAGGAATAATTTAGCAAATATGCAGAAATGTATGAGGTACAAGAATATGTGAATAAGATATTGTATGTGTAATAATTACATCTGTTAGCAAAAGTTTGTTTTACTTTTTCATAGTAACCTACCATGAGTTTTCGTTTTTTCTCGCTGGTTAGCTGTCTGTTAAGCTGTTGAAGCGGAGTCGCTTTTGGAACTCTGAATGTCAGACCAAAGAGAGCAATATTACAATATATTCTGTACAATAATTTTTATTATTATTGCATTTAAAAAAATAATAATTCAATGCAGCAGCTATTTTTGTTAAGAACACACTTACTTTTCTCTTCCATTGGGAAAGGATCATGTAAAAAGGTCAAGCGAGTAACTTAACAGTTATATGGCTACCAACTTACCTCTTATTCAAATCTGTGACAGATCTGGTGCTGGTACGCTGAAAAAAATTGATAACATTTCACATGCTTAGGATATCATTTTAAACTCATTGTTAATTTGTCAACTCCTTATTAAAATAAACATTTCTTTAAAATAATTACAATTCAAGAGTAATTAGTCATAATATGGATATTTTATTACCACTACAAGAACATACATTTTTCAAGATTATTCGCATAGACTTGGCAATGTTTCCCAATGTTTTATGGTCTCTGTGAACCGGATCGCAAAATATAGCCTATGTAACTTAGGCTAAAGCTTGAAAGGTCCACTTTTAAACGAACAAATTCGAATCGAAAGTAAATATCGTCGGTTTGGCCTCAGAAAACCAGTAAAATCGACATTTTTCCACACTTACACAATAGCTATGTTTCCATCCACACGTTTTTATCCGCATTAAGTGATATCGAATGAAAAATGCCTTATGGAAACAGTAAAATTCGATTGAATTTCATGAATATCGACTCAAATGAAATACGATCGGTCTCATCGGATTTTATCTTGATCGATATACGGCTTATGCGATAAACGCGGATGGAAACGTTATTATGGTGCGATCCATTTTGCATAGTAAAACTTTGTTCGCAAATGTTGGCTTGAATGTTGTGCAATTCGGTGAGAAATTGAATGGAAACACCTTAACATGTCTCAAATCAATTCGATATAGCAGCTAACGTTACCAATTTGATCGCAAAACAGCATGTGACGTCATTACGCACAGGTTTTTATCCGCTTTAAAACCGTTTGATGGAAACACACTTTCACCAGCTTTATTCGCATGAGGTTTTTTTTACCGAACTTCAGATAATTCGATTGACAAGTGGATGGAAACATGGCTACTGTTAAAATCATACGATGGCAGACAGGAAGACACTTCTTCCATACCAGAATGTAAACGTTAACGTTAAGTTACAGTTAAGCTAACCTCAGGTTAAATTAGCTAGCTAACTCGTTCGGGTAAAGGCTTTGAAATTATTCGACATAATTCTGAAAATTACACCCATTAAGATTAAGTAGCCTGTGTATAAGATGGTGTATTAACATAATAACAACAATAGCATGCTAGCTAGTTACTTACCAGGATTTGAAAGAGAAGGATTTTTTGAAATTGAAATTGACGATCTCTTCTCTGGCAGTTGAGCAGACGTGTGAGGGCGGTTATGCAGATCTTCTACTTTTCCGCGCGATATGGCCAGGATGTGACGTCTTTTTGTAGTCAATTTGTAGTCGATGATGATTATTTTAAAAATCAGCTTCAATGTCAGATTAAATGTACCTTTTATAGTATATGCAATTATAGTGTCTGCTGTCATTTTAATCGTGAACTGAATATAAACTTGCTAGGATTTAAATAAAATAAAAACGCAAAATACCTATAGGCCAACTTTCAAGATCATTCAGGCAGGTCTTTTAGATGTTGAAAATTAGTCGCATTGATTTACAGTGAGTAATAAATATACTTTTTCAGACATTGTTTTGATATACATTTCACATCATATTGACGTTTTATTTCCTAACGTCAAATCAACATCGATTTAATGTCAATGATATTGACCTGAGATGTAGGGACCAGAAAAAACATGTCAGATTGATACCTTTGTTTGGCCTCTTTACAACCACAAGGAAATAATTACAAAATATAATGAAAATATGCATATTCATGCATGTTATACATGGTGGTCAAAATCTTGACTATTTGTTGATGTCAAATTGACGTCAAGGTGCCCGCTGGGAGGCCTGAGAATCTGCTAAAAGCTCCAGCATGTTCGTGCCACCTGGGCTAAACACTGTAACCTGGTGTCGTACATGAGCTCGCAGAGCTCCAACTTCCCCACCGTGGGACTCAACGTCAGCGAGGGCCGATCTCAGCTGTACTGGAAGACCATCCGTGCCTCTCAGTACCTCCATGCCCACCACCTCCAGGACGCCGACTGGTTCCTACGACAACCAGTTCAACTGGTTGAACTACTGGTTGAACTACTACGACAACCAGTTCCAACTGGTTCCTACTGGTTCCGACGACACATTTGTGGTGGTTGAAAACCTGAGATACCTACTTTCCCAGCATGACACAGATGAGCCTGTTTATTTCGGGCACGGGTTCCGGCCGCTTGTTCGTCAGGGTTACATGAGCGGAGGAGCCGGATACGTTCTGAGCCGAGAGGCTCTCAGGAGATTTGTGCAAGGTTTTGACACGGGACGCTGTAAGCATTTCAGCTCCGTGGAGGACATGGCCTTGGGGAGGTGCATGGAGACCATGGGAGTGAAGGCCGGGGATTCAAGAGATCCAAACAAACGAGAAACATTTAATCCTTTTACACCGGTAAACCTTCTCATTTCCCCAAAGAGTGGAAAACAGGCCTGGAGCTACAGTTACTACAAAACAAAACGGGTGAGAGCAGCTGGCAGGTTTTCATTGAAAATATTTGTGAGTCATTCTACAGTTAAACCTAAGTTCCGCCCTCCTTGGTTACTGTTGCTAACACCGCATAACACCGGGCTTGATGAAACAAAAGACAATAGAGTGCAACAGCCCACCCACTTTTTCCATTGGTTTTGGAAGTATTTTTTCCATGCATTTCTCCCATAGGGATTTCAAAAAAGTCTTTGTTAAAGCGTTATGATGAGCCATGGACCAAGCCAATCAGCTACGAGGTGAATGATAATAACACTACATAATAACACTAACTTTGATTCGAAGTAAAACTATTTTTTAAATCGGACAAAAATACAAAGGTAGAAAGACTGAGTACTTAACGGTTTTAGTGAAGGAAAAAACTACAGCTTAATGAAATTTAAAACGGTGGAGAAATATGGAGAAACGGTGGCGTGCACCTGAGACCCGTCTCTCTGTAGGCGAGGGCGTGGTTTGCTGGTACCCTCTTACGTCACAGGGCACCACAACATCCAATAGGTAAATTCAACTGTAGTAGCGACCGTTCAACCTGAAGAGGGCAGCACTCAGACGTCTTACACCATATATTGTAGAATTAAAACACTTTATACCCAAATGTAAAAAAAATTACTTGAATCAATGAACAGCATTAGTAAAGCCCCAGTCTTACAGACCATTAACTAAAAAACGTTGTTTTAGGGTTTAGTTACCCTTTAAGCATGATTATTTTAAAACTAAGTTGCGGTCTGGCGGCTTTAACAGAAGAAAATATTATCAATTAACAACCTTGCAGCTCACAGTAGATCTGTCTTTAAAGTTTTAAAAGTTATCGTTAAAAATCAATTTCCTTATGGAGAAAATGAATGGAGTTTTTACTTCTGGAACCCGACTGTTGCACTCTATAGAACCCATGGCGCGACAATGTTTGAGTCCGGTGTAAGACATTCAGTAGGAATGAACTAGAGATGTACGTGAACAGGATCATTTTCAGTCAAATCAGCAGAAAATGTGCTGTCATATTCAGACATTTTACAGGTAAGTGTGGCAAAGCAAAACTTATATTAGCCATTTATCATTAAAAAATGCAACGTGAATAAAAACTGCAGACTGTGAATCAGAATCCTTTACCATATTTTTGAATATTTAATGTAAAATTCAATTTAAACCTACCCGGAAACAGAGACAGACTTACAAGTAGAAAACATGCTTTGGAAAAAAAAATCACACCCTTTTTTTCTTGTTAAATATATCCTGTTTCACTCAGATATACATCAGATTGCAGAACATAAAAGTCATTTTTGTTATTTTGATAAAGCATAAGCATAAACACTTGCTGACATAAAAATTACTTTATGTAAATAATTTTTTAATATATTTTATTTTAACTTATAATTTCAGTTTGCAGTTACAATTACTGTACAACAAATGTTCTTTTTCTATTTTTTACTGTTTTAAAACTGTAAAAATATCTCTTTTCTCAGCATCAAAATAGAGCAATATTTCATGCTCTAAGAAAATGTTAAAATTAAAATGATTGTAAATATTAATACGATTCCCACTATAGTTAAAATGTGTTTTAAAACAAATATGGATTTCTAGGACTTGTGTACATTGAAGTATAACTTTTCCATAATGACCCTTTTGCATTGTATTGTCCAAGATTAGTCAAAAATGAACAATTTTTCTCTTTTTCCAGGGCCCCGACTGCTGTGTGGATTTTGTGATATCGTTTTATTATGTGAAACCTGCAGACATGTACACGCTGGAGAATTTTGCACATCACCTGCGACCATTTGGATACAAGTACAGATTCAACACTAATCCTGAAACATAACAGCACCAGTCAGTTCATACCACAATACAAATACAATAGACGAAAATAAAAAAACACAAAGATGTTTAATGTGACCAAAAAATGAGAACATTTGATGGAAAAAGATTACAGATTGTTTTACTGTATGAATATTCGTTCATTGCCCATAAAGAAATAATGCTCAAAATAATGTCTAATCCTCACTGCATTAGACTACAACGTATCAAATTACTTTGACTTTTTCTGAGTCTTTAGTCTTATATAACTTTTGATATTTTGCTATATAATGCAGTCTCATTCTGACATTTTAAGTGTGACATTTTTGTGGCAAATACATGCATTTATTTAATTGTTCAAGTTTTAGTTATTTAAAATGTTCACAGTTAAATATTAAAAGCTAAAATATTTTAAATAATAACTTGCCCCCATAGCTTTATTTCTTTTTTCTTTTCTTTTTTTTTTTTTAGTATCCCATCCTTTTGCATCAGTTTCAGTGCTCTAATGATAAGACTTACATTTTCGCACAGGATTTTCTGCAGATCTGTTCACTATCAAATCGGTTTTTGTTGCCATTGCAACCTCCAAACCAGAACTGAGCACATGAATTGGCCTTAGGATCAAAATACCATTTAACAACATACTCTCGACACGGACCAGGATCCAGAGGCTCCAGGCACCCCTCTTCTGTGAGAGAGAGAAAATTGAAAGATTAAGATGGTTCTTTTGTTTACAGGATTTAGTTTACAGCTGTATGGGCGTTTACCTGCAGTAAAATCGTTCTGTATGAGCAGCGGCGGGTCAGTTGGTCTGCGTGTCGGGTCAGTCCAGTATGTGCCCTTATGTGGCCGGTCCAAAGACGTGAGAGAGAAATCTGGGAGGCGGTTCAAGTCATCCCTTTCCAAATATGGTGTTATGGTCTCGATAATGTCCATGTCGTCTGATTTAGGATCATAGGGGAACACGCCAACCTCTCCAAGTGCATCTGGCTGATTGATACAGTGTAATATTAATATGTCTTGATAACTAGAGTACATACAGTACTTGCATAATAACAGTAAGCGTCAAATATCAAGCCATTATTATAGCCTTAAGATCTCCTTTTTTGTCGTCTAATACAGTCCTGCAGTTTAACAAATTATTTTATTTTCAGTTTAACAATAATAACAAATTATTATATAGTCATAAAAATTGCATGCATAATAATAATTAGAAAAACATCATAATAAAATTAAATACATTTATAGTCAAGAAATGTTACACTGATTGGATTTTTTTTTTCAAATTTGGTTATGTATTTTTTTATGTATTTTTTTTGTTTCATCAGTCATAAAAATGGCTTGTGTAATAATAATTACAAAAAAATGTATAACAAAAAATTATAATAAAAAATAAATGTATAATGAATGTCACACTGCTGGAATTTTATGTACTTTAAAAAAAAAATTCTTTTAGTTTTATTCAGAAATTCTGCACTGGAGTTCAGCAATGAAAATGCATCCAACAGCAGCTCTTAAAACAAATATGGCGGCTTTAGATGCGTCATGAGTTTTTAATTAAAGGTCTTGTTGACGGAATTGTGTGTCACTTTACCTTAAAGCTGGAGGTAGTGCTGAATATTGATCCATCAATGTTCTCACAGACCTTTTGGAGCAATTTACTTTCCACTTCTAGACCACAGAGACAGAAAACATAAATTTAAGGCATTCAGTTTATATTATATATGTTTGAGGGTTTTTAAAGGTTAAGTGTATTATTTTTGTTAATGCTTTCTTCTGTCTCAGTTCAATGTCCAAATATAAAGCCCTTCAGAATGGGATTGTTCAAAATGTAAATGCTGACAGAATTTTTTCTTCCACACAGATATATGTTTACTAATTTTGCTAAGTAAGACAAGAATCAACATATTTTGTTGATCTTGGAACAACATTCCTGTCCAAAAATGTAGTCCCAGCCTTATAACACTGATGTAGAAGCACCTAACCGTGGTTGTAAGCCTAAACTTGACATAAACTGTAACCTTGTCCCTCAAATCTGATTGGTTGATTGGAATGTTATTCCAGGATCAACAAAAATGTTGACCCAGAAACATGTTGAACTTGGTGAAATCATGCACATTCACCCCACATACCCCTAACCCTACACAATAAACACTTTTTTCCTACTATTAAATACCCTTTAATTCCACTTTTCTAGTATTTTCTTAATTTTATTTAAAAATAGAGGCTACTCTGAGCTGATATGTGATGGAAAAAGGGAGAAGAATGAGTTCGGAAAGAGGCAGATTCGAACTCGGGTTGATCGTGTCAGAAGTTACCGCCTTTCTTTTGTAATAATTTAGAAGTTACCGCTTTTTTTTTTTCCTGACCGAACCAGACATTGGTGTGCGGAGTTAGTGTAAATAGCCTTTTGCCAACAAAGACATAAACACTCCATTTTGGGTGAACTATCCATTTTTAATTGTGTGAAATGAATGCATTGCGACATACCAGGAAGCATTCTGAAGTCTTCTATGGAAAACACATGCTCCTCAGTGGGCGGGGATGCTATTGACTTCAGCTCCTCCTTAAAATCATCATAAATCGGGTCACTTTGATTAACCACTCCTATAGCGAACATGGTGATATTGGCTGAATGAGCCTCTCTGACCGCATCCTCCAGCTTCACCGTGTCACGGTGGTCCGTCTGGCCATCCGTAATAACCACCGCCACTTTCTTCACACCAGGGCGAGCAAAGCGGAAGATCTCATTGGCCTTTCTGATGCCACTACCTGTGTAAGTGCCCTCTCCAATATAGGGCATCCTGCGCACAGCTGCTTTCACTCCATCACGAGTTAACCTGTCTTGTATCCTTGTGACCACCAGGTTAATGTGGCTGTAGAGAACGACCCCTACACGCGTCACCTCCGGACTGACTGACACGCGGTCGATCAAGGTATTCACAAAGTCTTTAATGACTTCAAAGTTATCCGGGCCGACACTCTCAGAGCTGTCAATCACAAACACCAGCTCAAGAGGTTTTACTCTGCATATCCGGCCACAACCTGAGAATCCAGAATAAATCATCCAATATAGTTTTGGTGCAATTCATTACAAAGCATTCAAACTTAGAAAAAGATCTGCCATTTGTTAATACTTACCACAAATAGATCTGATTAGAGTGATTATTTCTTCTCTCTGCAAAACATAAATCTTTTTACTGAGTTAAAACTTCAAATGAAAAAAATGAATACAATATAAATGATCATTTCAGCTTTATAAATACACACTGTAAAAATTTTGTTTTTTGAAGTTGTAAACCGTATTATTATTATAGTATGTTTTACAAGAAAATAGCCAAAGTTTATTTATATAGCACCATTTATATAGCAACAGCTGACCAATGTGCTTTACACTACATCATAAGACATAAAACAAGACAAAACAAAAAACCATGGCAACATCATATATGAAAGGCATATAAATATATATCAGCGTCTAATGATCATTAAAAGCCAGAGAGAATAGGTTTTTTGCAAAGACTTAAGAGGAAGGAACGGTGCGGATCTAATCTGGATAGACGGACTGTTCCGACTGTTTTGTTGTCCCAAATTTGAGGTATTGTAGGACTAATAAATTAGAGACGTAGGAAGGCGCCACGTTATTCAAATATTTACTGAAGGTGATGTAATTGAGGATGGTGCATCGGTCTACCATCGGGAGGGCCAAAAAAGATAATCTTGGTTTTTTATTTTCATTTAGATTTAAAACGCTAGCAGACATCCACTTTTTAATATTGTTTAAGCAATCCAGCAAAGGCTCAAGTGAATTTTTTTTTCAGATCGTTTGAGGGGAACATAAATTTATGTGTCTCCTGCGTAACAATGGAATGATACATCATGTTTCGGATCCCTAAGGGAAAAAAGGGTAGGGGCCCAGGATGAAGCCCTGAGGCACTCTCCAACAGAGGTTTGCAGCTGAGGACTCCGATTAGCCAAAACTGAGAGAATTTACGATCTTTCAAAAAGGAGCTGAACCAGTTTAATACAGTTAATTTCAACCCCACATCATGTTCAATTCGAGAAATAAGGATATCATGGTCCACCATGTCGAATGCAGAGCTGAGGTCTAGGAGCACTAATATATAGTAACAGTCACCAGCATCAGTTTTCAAATAAATGTCATTTAAACCTTCAGTAAAGAGTGTGCAGTGCTCTGAAGCCAGACTGAAACCTCTCATAGATAGAATTTAGATGAAGATAGGAAATAAGTTGACATAAAACAACTTTTTCGTGAACTTTCTAAATTAAAGGTAGATTTGAAATGGGCCTATGGTTTTCAAGTATGGTGAGGTTATGCAACAAATACATAACATATTGCAGTTTAGAACTGTCATTTCGTTAGGTGCAAAACACTTTTACAGTATATATAATAATTTATGTAAAAAAAATATTTTGGACCTTTAATGGCAAGGTAGAAAATGAATTCTTTCATCTGTGCACATACCGTGAGACCAGGATCTCCTTTTGTTCCTGAATTACCCTGTGATTGTAAAAAAGAAACAATGTTCAGGGTGTTAAAAATACAGATGTTGATTATAGTGTTGTCAGCTTTCACAAAGCTCGACGATTAAAAAGCAAGCATGAAGAGTTTTTCAACTAATCAACATTTCCTCAGTTCTTCTCACCGGTGGTCCTGTAAATCCTGATTCTCCAGGGTTTCCTCTGTCCCCTTTGCGTCCTTGTGCTCCAGGTAACCCACGATCCCCCTATAAACAGAACAGTTGTATTATAAAAACATGATCTAATGCACCATTTTTGTAATTGCATATAAGCATCATTTTTGGAGTTTGTGGAAAAGAGCATTTGATGATGACATTTTTATTTTGGGAAGAAGGATTCCTTTCATGCTAACTGTATGAAATATGAATGCATGACTTTGGCTATAAGACTCCTCACCTTCTGTCCCGGCAGACCCTCTCCAGTGGACCCCCTTGGCCCCTGTATACCCTGATATCCAGGCTCACCCTGTACAAAACAGAATGAAGTGCATGTGAATTCAACAGTTTCAGTATTTCATAACTGTACAACACACTGTAATGTGTTCAGGAATACTGTATTCTGCTGATATGCCTCAGATTCCTGTCACCTTTGGTCCTTGTATGCCCTCTCCTGGTATACCTGGAGGACCAGCTGGACCAGTCTGACCAATGGAGCCCTGGAGACCACAAACACACTTCTGAGCAAACCTGAAAAGAATCACATTCTGCTTCAAAAACATTAAGCCTATTTTTAGGACCATTTAGGAAGGACCAAGATTCATGAATTTCATCCGAACATATCTACAAACACAAATCTAATGACTCATCCAACAGTGTATTTTGACATCCCTGAGTGTTGATTATGTGTATATGTATTTAGTCTCAGCCTCACACCCATGGACCATTGGCTGAATGTCTGAAGCATATGGCACACAAAATGGGAAACACTTTAAAGTCGTCATCTGTTTGTTTGAGATCTCCAGTATTTTCAGGAAACGTGTACAGCAAAGCCGTCATAATGCCAAACCCCCTCAAAGAAGAAAGCTGTCGTGTTTACAACTCGCTGGAAACGCAGTTCACCGCACCATTGTTGCTCCAGTAAACTTGCACGACATTCTTGAACGAATTGCATGCTGGTCTATATAACTCTCCATTTTCATCCACCTAAACGTGATGCTGAACACAGCGAAGTGTGAATGGTTGCTTTACATCTCGGTCAGACATCCTCTTGTCACTGCTATGGAGTGGCTATGCAAGACTAATATGTATTCTACATACAATATATGTAGTTTAAAATATATTTCCCACCTTTGGGCCCACCTGACCAAGACCTGGTGCTCCATCAGGCCCCGGGCGACCTGGAGGGCCTCGATCCCCCTGCGACCGAAAATATCAATTAATCAAATGCTCTAATAGAATAATATATTTTTTAAATGATTCAAATTTTTATATTTCCTGAAGAAAATGGGAGCGATGCAATCAATCACCTTACCTTTGGTCCAGGTAAACCTGTACCCTCTGGCCCAGTCTCTCCTGTAAGACCTGGAAGACCTTGTGTCCCCTACAGATCACATGAGCAACACATATATAGTCTGTTATAATTCAATTTGGTATGTCAGATTAAATACAAACTGTACTGTAACTATCTATGAGTTGCATTAATAATGTTTTTTATTTACAGGTGGGCCGGGATAGCCTTCTCCCTTCAGCCCTGGAGGTCCAATGGGTCCTCGTAACCCTATTTCACCCTAAAGACAGACAAAATTGATGATCTGAATCACAAAAGAACAGTGTAGATTTCAGCTGGGAAGTCACTCCTACCTTCGGCCCTGCAATGCCTATCCCTGTTTCTCCAGCAAGTCCTGGTGGACCAACTGGCCCTGGATCTCCCTACAGGAAGATGAACATGGAATGAGATCTCCTGATATGGAAACACACACACATACAGTAGCTCCCAAAAAATGTAAGCCACAATAAAAATATATCAGTACTTTTTTTTTTTAAAAGCAAGAATTTGGAATGGAAGTAAATTAACCTTTTGTCCCGGTGTGTTTAAATGCAGAAATGTGAAACTGACGTTTTTGTTCATTTTCATGAATTATTCATGAATTGAAATTGTTTATTATTAAGTCAATCTTTCTGGAGTGGAATAATTTTCAAGATGTTTCAATGTTTAATGCCTGACCATGTATACGTCTCTTGTAAGTCACTGTGATTTTGCCAGGGTTAGGGTTAGGGTTAGGCATGTTCCTGGATCAACATTCCTGTCCAAATACTTAGTCCGACTCCTAACGCTATCCCTATACCCCTAACCCTACCCATAACATGTCCCTAAAATCAGAGGTGAATAAGAATGGTGTAGAAGCCCTTAAGCCTTTTTGTAAGTCTAAACTTGACATTAACTGTAAACCTATCAGTCAAATCTCATTGGTTGATTGGAATGTTGTTCCAGGATGATCTCACATTAACCGTCCATTGTGTCTTATATCGTGACCATGATTTTTGCTTTTTATTTTATTTTATTTTACAGATAAAGCTTGATTTCTTTAACGTACCTTAGCTCCGGGTATGCCTCTTCCTGAAGGCCCAGGAACACCTGGAAGTCCAACATTCCCTGGGTTTCCCTATTTTAATTGAACGACACTGTAGCTCAAAGAACATTCAGAGAACAGCGGCAGTGACACAGGGCTTTTCTTGACATAGTATTTTGTGTTTGTTAACATGAAGATGTCAAATGAGTTGTTTTCACCTTTCCCCCTATTGGCCCAACTGGTCCCATTGGCCCTGGTTGGCCTCTGGAGCCCCTCTCCCCCCGATCCCCCTGTTGAAGGAAGATACAACCTATTTAATACATAAAATTATATATTTTTTAATATAATAATTTTAGTAGGCATGACACCTTCTCTCCTGGTTGGCCTCTTCCAGGAGGTCCGTCTTGTCCTTTGGGTCCTGGTAGGCCTAAATCACCCTAAAATCAACAAGATATCATATAGTATATTACAAGATATGCCCACTAAATGTTATGGATATAAAGTTATCCACCACTAACATGCTATTACGGGCACCTTTGGTCCCATGGTCCCATCTTCACCTGGTACACCTGGTTCACCTTGTAAACCTTGGAATCCAAGTTCACCCTACGGCATCAACCCAAACACAACTCTGATTTCATGATTTGCTACTTTATTCTGTTTTTTTAGGTCGTGTCACAACAGTTTAGTTGAAGCGACAACCTACTTTGGGTCCTGGTTCTCCGATTCCTCTTTCTCCAGTGGCTCCAGGATCTCCAGGGAATCCCTGTTCTCCCTAAGAGCAAACAAAACAAAATTATATATCCTTCAAAAGTTTGGAATAATTACGTTTCTTTTTTCCGAAAGAAGCCTCTTGTTCACCAATGTTGAATTTATTTGAAATACAGGAAAAACAGTAATATTGTGAAATACTATTCAATTTTCAAATAGCTGTTTTTTTTATTTTAAAATATTTTAAAATATAATTTATTCCTGTGATCAAAGCTGAATTTTCAGCATCATTACTCCAGTCTTCAGTGTCACATGATCTTTCAGAATCAATCTAATATGCAGATTTGCTGCTCAAGAAACAATTCTGATTATTATCAATGTTGAAAACAGCTGCAATGCTTCATATTTTTGTAGAAATCATGATTTTTTGTCAGGATTCTTTGAAGAAATAAAAGAACAGCATTTATTTAAATAGATTTTTTTTTGTAACAATATAACTGTCTTTAATCTCATTTGATTATTTTAATGTATCTTTGCTGGAAAAAAAAGTATAAATTTCTTCCTTTCTAAAAAAAAAAAAAAAAAATTCGAATAGAAGTGCAGTCTTACCTTTGTACCCATAAGTCCTATCCCAGGATTCCCTCTCTGACCAGGAGGACCAGCTGGTCCCTGATTCCCCTTTCGATATTAAGATGGAGGCGACAGTTGAATGTTTCCAATTGTTTCGAAAAGTAATAGCACACTTCTCAACATGCATGATCATATTGAATATAAATATAGAACAAACAGTGTTTATTACGTAGACTTAGGGATTTGTTTAAATCACTAGAGAACATGAAGCTTGCCTATAGCACCACTAGTACAGAAATATTGGTATAAATAAAAAAGCTAAACCAGAAAAATAACATAACAAAATACTTTCTCTCCTTGAATTCCCCTGCCAGGCATTCCTATTGGTCCAGGAGTTCCAGAAGGTCCCGCGTTGCCCTAAGAGGATGGATATAAGGGCTAAATTTAAGCAAAATGGCTATTTATATGGCCAACGAAAATCTCACACAACTGCACCGTACCTTTTCACCTCTGACTCCATAACCTGGGGGTCCACGTCCACCAGTAGGGCCGACATAGCCACGGTCACCCTAGGACACAAACACAAAACGGATTAAAAAAGTGATATTTCAATATCTTTATTCACACGAACATTAAAGGGAAAGAATAACATAGAGGTATGCATTCATTTTAGATGATTTTCAATGTGAACTCTTAAAAATAAAGGTTCTTTATTGGGCTCTAAGGTTCCATATAGAATCTTTAACATCCATGGAATCTTTCCTTTTATCCAAAGGTTCTTTATAGTGAAAAAAGGTTCTTTAAAATGAACCCCCCCCCCCCCCCCCCCCCCCCCCCTTAGGAAACTTTACTTTTAAGAGTGTCTATTTTATTGACATTACTATCTTTATTTACTTTCACTATTGAAAAGAGCAGGATTTGTTTTTCACAGAAGTAAGAACGACTTACAGGTTTGGAAGTTGGAACAATTTAAGTGTGAGTAAATTTAATACGTTTTCTTTCAGAAAAGGTCAGGGTCATATCGAAAAGGGAATGACCTAAAAAAGAAGCAGGAACAGCAACTGTCTCTGCTCACCTTTGGGCCAGGGAGTCCCTCGCCTGGAGCTCCTGGGTTCCCCTGTGATCCTGGTAAACCCGGAGGACCCTTCATTGATGCATGTATCATTATCTCATTATAATCTATAGATGCGTGTTTTAAAGTCATACAAGAGGCTGTTTATACTTACAGATTGACCTGGCTGACCAATGCCAACCTGACCTAGAGGACCTGGTCTTCCGGGGTTTCCTTTGTCGCCCTAAAAGAAATCATTTGTAATATAAATGTCTTTACTTTTCCTTTTGATCAATTTAATGCATCCTTGCTGAATAATAATTTAAAAAAAAATCTTACTGACCCTAAACTTTTGATTGGTAGTATATGTTTCCACTGCTTTTTTTGAGTAATATGAACTGAGAGAAGTCGTGTGGAGAACAACCAGCTGAAAAGTTTACCTTTGGTCCAGGGAATCCAATCCCAATATCTCCCGGCGGGCCAGACGCACCAGCCGGCCCTCGGTCCCCCTAGGAACAACCTGAAGGTCAGTCATTTATTTGGATGTCATTTTCTTATAAATTTAAAAGTTCACATAAATTTAAAGCTGATACTGTATATTTGCTGCAAAATGCAATAAACCTCAGTCATCTCGAAGATGCATGTCACATTGCAACTTTTGGCTTAATATACAAAACATCCTATTAGCGTGAGGTATGGTGAAAGGGTTCAGTACACACTCTGATCACCCAACGCATTCACTCGTGTATGTTCCAAATGACATTTACAGAGCATAAAGGCATCCCTTGTGTCTGACAGTTTAAGAGTTTTTGCATTTGAATGTGCTATTATATATTTGTCAGATTTTCAAAGCACTCTTTGTTAGAACTTCCAGACCAAACGTGAGAGGCAAAATCTGCATTTAAACATGGAAAGATCACTACAATGTGAATTCTTTACCACCCAGATTTATGTCTCTATTTAAAGCACAAATATCAGTTATAGTCATTTCCCTTGAAAGAAATGGAAGATATGATCATACTTTGGGTCCTCCTTGACCCTCTTGCCCCTGGTCCCCTGGAGGCCCTTTCAGACCCTGGTAAAATAATGAAGAAATATGTTAAAATTGGTCTTGCACTCTCATGCATTAATTTTTTAATCATTTAATTTTTTAAAAAAACAATTAATCAGCCATATGCCTATAATAAACCATAAGTTGATATGGCACTTTTAGGCGTCTGTCGATGCCTGTTAAACTGTGCAAATGTTGGTTCTGAAGGACCAGTCAATCTGAGCTATTCAGTCTCTTCACTAATCCCACAGTACAAAGTCATCCTCGGAAAAAGAATAATATCCTGCAAGCCTGGATTCACTCCTTTACATGTATAGATTAGCATAGGATTACGAGCGATCTGCCGATCACATTCCATAAGTGCAGAGCGGGGAAACAGCCGGCCTGCCATGATCACTGCGTTTATGTGATGAGACAACATGTGATAAGACTAATGCATTTAGTTTTAATTCTATTTCTATCTATATTCACTTTCTCACTTTAAAAATTATAAATCACTAAATAATTTTTGTCTGAAATCACCCTTACACAATTCACTCCTTAAATGGTGCTGTTATACACACTTCTTAAAAGTAAAAAAATGCTTTTGTTCACAGGTAATGTTTTTCAACAGTGGCATAATTATTTAACACATTATACTAGGCCTACTAGCCTGGGAAAACCCAGACAACTTCCGGCAAATTTAGATTTGCTCTGAAAGTTAGTCTGGCAAAGAGCTCATTCAAGCCCATTTCCAATCCGTCGAAATCGAGGCACCAATCAGAAACGTTGCGGCGGGCTTTACACGATGACGACAGCGCTGGGATTTTGAAGCAGATTTTGTAGCCTACATTACAAAGATGGATGCCGCCGTCGAACATCACTCGTTCGAATCAGCTATCGCATCTGTTTTAAGCGATTTGAACGTTTCCTTTTTGTTAAAATCCGAGCAAAGATCAACACTCGGAGATGTTTCTCCGCCGCTCTGCATACGTCATCTCCTTCATCGCTGGTGCCGCCCCTCTGGAAATGATTTGTCTATGACGCTTTGCCAGACCATAACTCAGTTGAGTGGTCTGGTTTTAACCAGGCTTTTATACTACTACTACTGCTATATAAATGCTATTTATTTATTTGTGTTTAAAGGAACACTCCGACTTTTTGGGACTTTAGCCTATTCACCGTATCCCCCAGAGTTAGATAAGTCCATACCGTGCGTGCTATAAAAAAAAAACTATATTCTCTGAAGGCGAAGCACTGCTACTTGGGCGGAGTGATAACCGCAGCACCTGAGACGCGCCGTGGAGGAGCGGTGAGGAGCAGAGAGCGCGTCTCAGGTGCTGCGGTTATCACTCCGCCCAAGTAGCAGTGCTTCGCCTTCAGAGAATATAGTTCCCAGTATTTATACGGTTAAAATATGTCTGTGTCTCATGTGACTTTGTTTTTTGTACACTCGGTGACTATACAAATCACAACATGTACATAGGAAAATGTTTGTGTTATTTTGTCACTTATTTGGATTAGTATGCTAGCTGCAACCATTTACATCCCGTCTTTGTGCTAAGCTAGGCTAGCGGTGGGTGCGTCAAACAGACTTATAGCACGCACGGAGATGAAAAAGGTATGTATGGACTTATCTAACTCTGGGGGATAAGGTGAATAGGCTAAAGTCCCAAAAAGTCGGAGTGTTCCTTTAAAGTAATATGATTGTATGGATGAAATACACAATTATCATTTGTTTCATGTGTTTAGAAAAATACAGGCTAAAATGAATAAGACCACCCAACTATTAATAATGTGTTTCATAAATACACAAATTCATGAAAAAGTATAAATTAAATTGAAGACTGTATGAGTTCCATGCATACATGTATTAATTCATAAAATAATTAATTTGAGGAGTTTTTAAGAATTCGTTTTTTCCCAAATATAAATTGGAGCTTTTAAGTGTGTTCTACTGTTAAATATTATGCATGCCATAAAGGAATCTTTACTTAAGAGTCTCACAGAATTAAATTAAATAATTATCATCATCGAATTATAAAAATACAAATACAGTTCATGTTATGCATCATGAATTCAGCTGAAAACTGAAATGTGGCATGTAATATGTCATATGTAAAGATATGTTTGTACTGTGCCTGCTCTCCTCTGGGGCCCCTCGGTCCTGGAGGCCCTTCAGTGCCCTGTGAAATGACACATAAAACTTTGATCAATCATACGTGGCATATTTCAGAGCAATAGTAATTCGTAGAACAACAGAGAAGACTTACTTTATGTCCCTTTTGCCCTGGTGGTCCACAGTTACCTTGATCCCCCTAAAACATGACTCAAGACTTCAGTTATTGTGAATCAGAATGTGTGAGAACAGTGAAAGTAGCATTAATAAAGCTGAGCAGTTACTCTGTCCAGTCAAGCCACAAGTACACTCTTAAAATAAAGGTTAAAAAAGGATGTTTTCACAGCGATGTGATGATGATGTCATAGAAGAAATAACCAAATCCCCAAATAACCTTTCAGTGAACAGTTCTTAAAAGTGGATGGAACATCTTAATAATCTAAATAAATTTGTTTCCACTATAAAGAACTGTTTGTGCAATGAAAAGGGTTCCATGGATGTTAAATCTTCTTGGAACCATCAAAGCCAATAACCTTTATTTTTTAGAGTGCTTTTTAATTTGCATGCAAATGATTTTGCGATCTTAGTAGATAGTCTTGTGGCTGGTTAGGACAATGCATGGAACTATTAACAAATGAATCGCAACAACCCAAATGCATATGCAAAAGATAAAACCCAGATGTTTTACCTTATCACCTTTGAACCCAGATCTTCCCTGTGGATGAGGAACCAGGAACAAGAACCGTGTTGGTCAGAGAGTCAGTAGTGAGACAAAATGTATGACCCTATGAAGATGTGATGTACCTCTGGACCATTGATTCCTGGAAGACCAGGTGCTCCTGTTTCCCCCTGTAAAATCAGTCAGAGCAGTGCATCAACAACAATAAACTACAGATCTAATCATCATAATTCCTTTAAACACATATGGTAATTATTTTCACTCTCACCCTTGAGCCTTTTGTACCAGGCGGTCCTTCATAACCTTGGTCTCCTTTTTTACCCTAAACAAAATAGAGTTTTCTTCATGAACGGCACAAGTGAAGGAATATGGCCTCAATTCCATCCCAGCAATACTCACAGAAGCTCCTGGAAGACCTCGATCACCTTTCTCACACAAACACACCGGTGGTCGTGGGCACTGGCAAGACAAATATCAGGTAGTTTGCAATCAGCATTGTTAAAGTCCAGTTATTGATGGTGTGATATGCTTTGCTTAAAGGGATAGTTCACCCAAAAATGAAAATTTCATCATCATTTACTCACCCTCCAAACCTGTATGAGTTTCTTTCTTCTGTTGAACACAAAAGATGTTACTTTAAAGAATGTTGGTAACCAGACAGTTGACGGTAGCCATTGACTTCCATTGTATTTTTTTTCTCTGACAGGTTTGGAACAACTTGAGGGTGAGTAAGTGATGACAAAATTTTCATTTTTGGGTGAACTATCCCTTTAACCATGTCAGGTCAAATGCATTTGTATAGCACTTTTCACAGTCCACATTGTTGCAAATCATGATGTTAATGTTTATAAAACATTACTATTTTCATGCCATATTTTCAGATTAAGCAGATTAGAGCTGGACAATAATATAGTTCACAATTTGCGACGACAAGCAATCAAGAAGTTGAGATTTTCAGCTTGATTGTTTGTATATGGGCATGTACTTGTACTGTATGTCAATAAAGTTGGACACACTTATACAGGGGTTGGACAATGAAACTGAAACACTGGCCAATATAGTGTTGGAGATTTCATGCCTATATACGCCTGGTGGCCAATCTCCACTGATTTACATTCATCGGTAAGAGCCGAGTGTGAAGGTTGAATTAGCAGAGCAATAGCACAGCTGTACATAAACTATTGCAATCCACTCAACATAATGCGAGACATATCAGAGTTCAAAAGAGGAACAACTGTTGGTGCGTGTCTCTGGTTCATCAGTGATCAGGACAGCAAGTCTTTGTGTATCGAGACGTGTAATATCCAGAGTCATGTCGACGTAAACCACAGAGGACGAACCACATCCAACAGGAGTAACTGCCGACGCAAGAGGAAGCTTCTGACAGAGATGTGCAGGTACTAACCCGGATTGTATCCAAAAAACATAAAAGCACAGCTGCCCAACTCACTGCAGAATTAAATGCGCACCTTGAAATTTCCACCAAAGCTGTTTGTCAGGAGCTCCACAGAGTCAATATTCATGGTCGGGCTGCTATAGCCAAACCTGCAGTCACTCGTGCCAATGCCAAATTCTGGTTTCATTGGTGCTAACAGTGTAAATCTTGGGCTGTGGATAATGTGAAACATGTATTGCTCTCTGATGAGTCCACTTTTATTATCTTTCCCACATCTGTGTGAGTTACGGTGTGTAGAAACCCTAAAGAGTCTGAACCCCCGGACTGTTTCTGCTCAGAGTGAAGCACGGGTGGATCAGTGATGGTTTGAGCTGCAATATCATGACAATCCTGACTGTGTTTGACGGACACGTCACTGCCGAGGACTACCGAACCTTTCTGGAGGATCATGAGCACCTGATGTTCAAACCGTGTATCAGCATGATCATGCACCAACACACACAGCAAGACTTGTGACAGAAGGGTTTGAGGAAGATGAGAGTGACGTTGAACATCTCCCATGGTCTGCACAGTCACCAGATCTGAATATTATTGAGGTGTTCTGGAGGAGCGAGTCAGAAAACATTATTTTTCCTCCACCAGCATCATATAGTGACATGGACGCTGTTCTGGAAGAGGAATGGCTCAAAATCCCTTTGGTCACTGTGAAGCACTTGTATCTGTTATTCCCAAGATGAATTGATGCTGTATTTGCCACAAAAGGACTAAAAAGGCCCTCACCATACTAATAAATTATTGTGTTCTAAAACCAGGTGTTTCAGTTTCATTGACCAACCTCTGTATATCCAACTTTATATAAAGAGCTGGGCAATAATATATTTACATTTTGAGACAAAATGAAATCAGGCAGTTGAGATTTGCTATATTTTCGCTTTGATTGAGTGCCGTGAGTTTGCTGCATGGTTGCCGATAAAACTGGATATAATATTTAGCCATCTTTATATATAGAGCTGTATGGTTATACAGTTTACATGTTTGTGTCAATATAAACAATCACAGAGCAGAGATTTGCTATTGATTTTCACAAGTGTATCTGGGTAAAGTTGGACATCGCAGTTGTATATTTCATTATTAGTTATTCATTTAATCCATTTGAGTTATTAATTCATTATGAGGGGATATTGAGAATTATGAAACCTGTGTGGTTTTGTAGCTTAATGCCATTTGGTTAGGCTATTTTCCTCTCAATGACATTCAGACTTTTATGACTAAAGTGTCTGAATACTTTCAGGGTCACTCTACTTGATAGTTCAGTACTTACTTCATTCTTTGCAATTATTTCCTGAAAAAAAAAAATGAAAAGAGAAATAATTAGAATACAAATCTATAACTACCAAAACAAGTCTAATTTATCGGCAAATTCCGTGCATGACATGGGAAGCATTATTATGCATTTCTAAGAGACCCGATCACAGACAGTGCTTGACATTTCCCGAGCGGCAGACCCTTCCTTCTGTGTTTATTGGGAAAATCCCTCGCACACAGATTTGATTCACCCACTGATGTGTGAACCACATGCTTCAGGACAGAAGACCAAACACTAGCTACTGTATTTGGATCTCAAATCCTCACGAATAGAAACTTTTAGAGCATCCATTCTCTGACCCAAAATAACAGCAACATTCCCTTCAGGCTGTAAAAAAGAAAGATTGAGTTTTTTCTTGCATCAAAACTAAATGAAAGGGTAGCATCCCTTACGAAATCCTTATTCAAGTGTTCTATTAGTATACTTCTTTTAAACTAAAAATAAGAAAGTATACTTTCAGTCTACATTTTATATACTTCTCAGAAATATACTTAAAATTACACTTAAGTGTACTTGACTTATACTGAGAGAAAAGTCCAAGTATATTTGGCCAGTACTCACAATCTTTTGATCGAGATATACTTAAATATATAATTAAGTATTCAAGGTATACTTGGCTTGCAGTTGTGTTAACTCTTTTGATTGAGTATAGCGTGTTAAATATACCTTTTTTACCTAGTTTTTCATATACAGTCTTATGAAATGTACATTGTTTGAAAATATTGATTAGAATATTGATATTAAACAGATATGTTTCTAATTCTGAGTATCTGAATTTCTGTGTAGGCTAGTTCACTGGTAGTGTACATAGGAATTTACTTTAATTCTACTTTACTCTGTCCCCACCATTGACTGAATTTTCCAGCTATCCATGTTTTCACTGTTATACGGTTAGGGGCGCTATGACACATCTTCCGCTACAGAATCTCCGGATCAAAACGCAGCAGAAGAAGAAGATGAAACAAGTGATAGAAGATTGCTCACCCAAATGTAAAATAACGTGATCATCAAACATTAAACAGCGTGTAAATCAAAACTGCGTAATGTTACCAAATTAAATGAAGCCTAACCCATGAAGAGAAAACGACTGTGAAGCTTTGGGGGTGTTGGACTCGATCTACTCCATCTGTGTTTTGATCATCGGTCTGAATAAAGGCGTATTGACAAAAATGTGATTTTCTCAACTTTTTTGTTTAAAATGTTGCCTTTCTTTATGAAACTTAACTTACCGACATTCAAGTGTTGATAAAAAAAGGATGGATGAAGCTTATAACATGTTTTTAAAATTAAAGTACAGTTAAAGGTATTTTTCGAGTATACTTGCAGTATAAACTAGTAGTTAACTGAGAGTACACTTCAGTGTGTACTAAAAAAACAAAAAAAATGTAGGCTACTTGTATTAAAATAGTAAACTACTAGTATACTTATAAGTTCACTTGAAGTAGGCCTACATATGCATTACAAATGAGAAACCTTTTGTACTTAAAGTTTACTACTGTTACACTTATAGTACACTTAAACGTATACTTTTATATACTAAAAGTGGGCCAATTTAGTCCTAAGCTGTATTGAAATAGTCCACTTACAAGTTTACCACTAGTGCACATTGATATTAGTATACTTACTACATAAAGTATACTTAAAAAAATTACTTGAACATTACTTAAGTAGCCTACAGGTGAAACTCGAAAAATTTGAATATCGTGCAAAAGTTCATTTATTTCAGTAATTCGACTTCAAAGGTGAAACTAATATATTATATATCTAATGCACACATATGCATTAGAATAATTAGTTGCTAATCTGCTATGTGATTTCTTATTGACCCAAGTCCCAGGTGTGTGTTTATCAGCATTTCACATAATCTTTAAACATGGCTATTCATAATTTAGAGTTAGAATTATCCTAAACTGTTATGTTTAAAATGTTTTTTTGATTTACATGCATGGTTTTAAATGACCTTGCAGTGCATTGAACCCAGAACTGGTGTGACTGAGTGACCATGAGCAAAGATGGCAGCTTGCAGATCACAACATACAAGTTAGCTAGTTAGCATAAGCTGGTAGTCTGCTAGTTAGCAAAATCAGTTTTTTCTCTTCTTTTAACAAATTTGCTCTCCACAGGTCTAAGTCTTAATAATTGATCAAAGTAAAACTGAAATTAAAAAAATATATAATACAAATAGTTTGAAATATATGGTAGTTACGATAGTTCCGGTCCTTCATTCTGATTGGTTGTGCCATTACTCTACTACAAACATACACCTGTGACCTCAATAAAATAAATATTTTTATGGACTAACCGTTTTATAAAAGCAATAAGCCCCATGAAGCCGGTTTACAGTGAATTTAGAACAGCTAAAGGGCTTTGCATGATTATATGTAATTTTCAATTAAATACAATAAGTTTTAATTATATATAATTATACTGTATATATATAATTTTTATATAAAAAAAAAACCTTTAATAATAAATAATAATACATTATAATCAGGGCTTGACATTAACTTTTTTGCTCACTAGCCAATGTGGCTAGTGGTTTTCCAAAGTTACTAGCCACACAGCATTTTTACTAGCCACATTTTTGTTGTTGTGAAATTACCTGATTAAAGTTGACTATGGCGTGCTAAAATTTACTTGAACTAGATTTACAACCCTTTTAAATGTAAAACCACTGTACACACGCAAATCAAGACTAGGTATAACAATACAGGTCATTATCATTAGCTCTGATAAGGTTGTGTGTAAAGCTCCTTTAAAGCTCCTATAAAACCATGTATTAAGATGAAGACATAGCTTCTTATTGCATAATAAAAGTGGTGCATGGATGTAGAAGATTAATAAAAAATATAAAAAACTAAACAAAAAACCTTTAGCATTAGAAACACTGTCTGTTTAAATATCAGAATCAGAATTACTTTATTGAGCCCCGATGGGAAATTCTTTGTTACAAGTTGCGTTTTCTGTGTCTTTGCACACCAGAAACGTGTCTGCTGGTAACGTACATGGAGGGCTATCTCGGGATTCGGGCGTTGCAGCATAGACGGCAAAATAGGCTATAAGAATATTTCGTTCTGTATTGACAGGTGCAATATTTGAATTTTTTTAAATTATATCTGCATTTGCCAAAACCTATGGACTTTCAAACATAAAAATGCCATTTATTAATATGTGTTCGTGTCAACATGACATATTTTCCTATTCTATTTAGCCTGGAAACGCTTCCAACAGGCTTGCGTGTCGCGTGAGAAATAGGCGTCGGTTTTTTTTCTAGCATGCACGCGTTTTCGGCGCGGCTCGAGACGCGCGTCACGCAGGCAGTGTGCAAGTTCTAACCTGTTAACATGGGAGCCGAAATAAAAACGGACACACCACGCAGCGGAGACGCGCACGCCACGCAGCCAGTGCGCTTCAGATGCCTTTTGAAAAGACTACAATTATTCAACCCGCCAAAGTGGCTAGTTGAAGTGACTGTGTTACCCGCCACGAGCAAAATCCACCCGCATTTGGCGGGTTGGCGGGTCAAGCCCTGATTATAATCATATTTTCACACTTCATTCTGTTGCATAATGTAATTTTTGTGTTTTTTCAATGAAGCCCATAGAATCATGATTTGAAAAGCTAAGAAGTGATGTATCTCAATAGTAACCGAAGTGGCGTAGGTATAAAATATTTGAAAAGTTCTGGAAAAATATATAGAAAAGGATTCAATTAGAAGTGCTGATACCTTCAGTTTCTCAATTCACTATTGATCGTTTTTGTTTATTGTATCATTTAATTGTGCTATTTGAATGCATCTTTCGCTCCCATTTTTTAAAATCAATCCTTTATTTGCATATTTATGCTATGGTTGATTATGATGATGTCTGATCTTGCTAAAGCTAAAGAGGCTGACAGATGAACTGAACATCTCACGAGCTGCTGCAGGAGCCGTTCTTCCAGTTTGGGGTCAGTGAGGCTGTGGGAGTATTGCTGGGATGGACTGCTCGCTACCAACCGCAGCTTGGCACTGTCCTTCGCCAGGTTTGATAAGCCTATAGTGAAGATCTTAATTTTGTGGCCTTTGGCCTCAGCGACCGCCGCCATGATGTCAGGATTCCTCGGATGGTCGATGCCGTCGGTCATGAGCAGGGCCACCCGAACGCTCTGCTCCTTGGTCTCGCTGGTGAAGAGCTGGGTGGCGTTGGATATGGCATATGTCGAATACGTTCCCTGACCGATGTAGATGGCGTCTGCCGATCTACTCAGGAAGACGTCAAAGTCCTGCCAGTCTGTGAAGCGTTGGTCGATGTGCACTGAACTGCTGTAGTAGAGGAGCGCCAGACGAGTCTTCAGATGCCAGTCAGAAACCTGCATCTGAGCCACACGCCTGCTGAAGGAGCGCACGAATGCTTTCTCTCGGTCGAACAGAAAGCTCTTCGCACTCTCTGAGCTGTCCAGGATGAATGCGATCTCGAGAGGACATACTAGCTCTGAAACGAGAGAGGGAACTAGCCATAAACTCTTTAAGCACACATACAAATAGAGGTTCTTATTGGCAAAGTTCAATGAAGATCCTTTAACATCCATGGAGCCTTTCCATTACACAAAAGGCTCTTTAGATTATTAAAATGTAGTTCATGCTGACAAAAAAAATGACTGAAAGGTTCTTTAAGAGATTGGTTCTTCAATGACATCATCACTTATTAACCCAATAAAGCCTGACATACGGAATAATAAATATATATACAGTCTATTGAACCTTTTTAGACAAAATCTAATAAAAAAGTTTGCATATGTTTTGTTGAGTATACATAAGGCTTTTACGGCTCATATAGAATGAGATTATTGAGCTCATTCTCGAGGAGGAAAAACACATCTACATTTTATTCAGAAACAGATCAAAAATATGCAATTTGGTACAGATGCTGGTATTTGTTTGGGGAGAAAAAGTATGTAATATGATAGCTTGTAGTGTAAATCAATGAGATTTTTAACAGCATAACCGACTATTACATAAAATGTAGATGATATTTCAATGCTTAGTTTTATGATCAAAGCTAGGGGGGGGGGGGGGGGGGGGGGGGAACATACTGCAATGCAATATAATGATGATTGAGAGATGAACTACGTTCTTCAAAAGCCTGATGGATTATATATTTGATATAAACACGATTTTTTTACTCAGGTAAACCTAAGTTTCTTCAGTCCAACAAACGTTTATCTTGAAATATTACCAACTATATACGTTATTATACGTTTTCTTAAAAAAATTGTTAAAGATTTCTGAGCAAAAAAACACGTGAACCACAAACTAAAGGTGGACTTTTTTCAATCATACTAAAAGCTTTAGAAACGACCAATCAGACGACAGAAGGCAGTAGATAGTGTGGAACAGGATTTTCAGCAAAGTTTTGATCATATTTATTGATCATTTAGAGAACTTAGAAATTTGTGAATCAAAATATGACAGCTTTATAGAGATAAGAGTGATGGGATCCAAACACATCAGACCACTAGCGAAAATAATTTAATTTGGTCTATTTTTGTAATTAGATCAAATTTTTTCCAAATTATATTATCCGCATAACAATTTTGAGTGATAGGTGAATTATCTTTTGGACCCACTATACATCTTTTCTCACGAGAACAGTCTCCATTTAATCTCATTGTTGTCTTGGAGAAACAATTGAGATAGTAAAGATATCTAACTTTAACTTTTGTACATGCAAAGACTTAGTCAACACAATAAATGATGCACTGGAACTGAAGAAAACGCTAATGCATTTACCATTGTCCTGTTTTGTGGTGAGGTTGTTCGGTGTTTCTCCAGACTGTCTTCTGTTCTGGCATCTGGCCGCAGGTACAAGCAGCCAAAGCAACAAGCTCAGAAAAAACACTTTGGCCATGCTTTCATTCATGCCTGACCTAAGACAGTCGAATAAAAAAAATCTGTGCATCTTAAAAATCTGTTTATGGTGCATAATTATCGCATGCATTATACAAAGCCCAAGTGGCTAAAAAATAATAAATGCACAAAGAGTGTCCCTTTCTTGTTGTTTGAATACACACTTTTTAGATGTTCAAACAAAGCAGAACATGATCCTCAGATATTCCTAAGCAAACATAATAATGTCTAATAAATCAAGTGTAATGAATCAGAACGTGTGCATCAAAACACATTTTAAACAAAGACCGATTTAAATCCACAAATACATGCAACAATGTTAAATGTGTATTTTTAACATTTATGATCAATTTTTAGTTTTGTTATGCTAAAATGAGGGTTTACGCAGGAACATATTAGAACAATAATATTACTGTAAAAAGGATAAAGCACTTACCTTGCCTGTTATGCAAATATGAGTATCCACATGCTCATGTCTTCTGTGTGGAGAACTTTCTGTTCTGACTGAGTCACTTCAGTTCTGCACTGAACATCAGCCCAACATCACAGACCCAACAATCTGATGCCTGACTGAACACACACACACACACACACACACACACACGCGCGCGCGCGCCCACGCGCACACACACTCTCGAAAGGACAGGACATCCATCCAATATTTGTAACCATCTAATAATTTTTATTTTATTTTATTTTAATTGTTAAATATGTTATTAAATATGTATTTATAGCATATCTGTTGTATTATGGTATAAAAAATAGATTTGATTCGATTTTTGTGATTTAATGTGCACGTGTTAAACAGGAATTCATCTCTCCCATATTGTCTGCTGTTGATATCTGTTTTGGAGATGAATGCTGAGAGATTGTTTGGAGGATAATAACATTTCCCCCAAAAGCTTCTGATTTCTTGACAACAATTCACAAAAATGAGTGAAATCTGGAAAACATTCAGGAACCTCCTGAGATCTGACTCATCTCAAGGATATGGCTTCACCCTTATTTTTCCACATAACATCCACATACACATCCTCATATTGTTTAAAAAAAAATACTAAATAAACATGGGTTGAGGGACCTCTTCTGTGGATGCATGAAGTATTAGCTATAACATATCTCAGAACGTGTAACAAACCCGAATCCTCTGTCTGCCCTTTTTGGTATATCACATGGCAGCACTCTAACAACTGAAGCACAACACTCTTTGGCCTTCTGTACCCTGCTTGCTAGACGCCTGATCTTGCTTAACTGGAAGCAGGCCCTGCCTCCATCATATGACAGATGGATTAAGGAAGTCCTACATAATCTAAAACTTGAGAGGCTAAGGTTTTCTCTTAGAGGCTCTTTGAGGAGATTTGATAAAACTTGGAACCCCTTGCTTTCCATTATAGACTCCCTAGACATCATACCTGAGGAGTGAAATGTTTACGCCCTTTGGATCTACAGTGTAACTAACCACCTATTCATGAGTTTTATTTATTTTATTTATTTTAATTTTTTTTTTATTTTTTTTTATTTTTTTTTTTTATCCATGTTTTTATTTATACATATTGTATTGTGTTGTGTTTTGTTTTCCAGGAACGGGGCACTTCAGGGGATGGGATCCAATATAGGGGATTGGGGTCCCATATAGGGGTTTGGGATGGTGGGGAGGGGGACGGGTGCGGGGGGAAAAAATGAAAAAATGGGAGCACTGCTTCATATTTATCAGTACTGTTTAACATTGTGTACGCTTTGTATGATTGGTGCTCAATAAAACATATTTAAAAAAAAAAAAAAAAAACCATATCTCAGAACTACAGAATAAACATTCCAAGAACAAGGAGATAGGGACAAGAGACGACTTGTCTCTTTTCCCCCGGAATTGCTTAAGATTATTACAGTTTTTCTGAATTGCTAAAACATTGTCCACACTTATTTCTAATGATGTCACCAAACCAACTGTACATAATACAAGTCAGTTCAGAGTGCCAACATTTTTTCAAAATGTAGCACTGAATGTTGATAGCAACAATGGATGGAAACAATATAAGAGGGAGAGAAGGAAGAGTGCATGTAAGAGGTGGTGAAGGAGGAAGACGAGAAAGAGCAAGGTGTGGAGTGTTGTAAAGGCTGGATCTGGCTTTAGGGGTTTTCCCTAAGCCTGGGATTCACATTGCCTGTGATGTGGAGAAACTCCTCCGGCCGGACCAACATAAAGACATGATGCAGAAGCAGAATAAAATCTCTCTCACTGTCCTTGATTTTGCAGTTGCACAACTCTTCTGTGTGTACATGCTTTTCATTTAGAGTTTTTTTCACGGTAAGCTTTTTGGCTTTTGCAGTTGGGTCACTGTATTTTCACAGTATGCAAGTGCTGAATATACAGACATTCAATCCTATACAATATTCAGTACAATACTATACTTGCAGTGCATACAGTATACAATTTATTCACCTCACACAATTAAGTTGTCATTACTATACTTGTTTACTTTGTTACAATATAGGCTACTTTTTTTTTTCGTGCTTTGGATTCTGTGTTATCCATTTTTTTATGTAGTGTCTAATGAATGATCTGTAGTGTTTATAATATTGACTCGCTGTTTGTATGACCTGAAAGCATTATTTGATTTTGAGCACAAATAAAAGGGTTTTGAGGCAATTGTTTCATTTTGCCAGAAGAGTCAGAGGTTCTCTGGATGTGGGTTGAACAATTGGTTTTATGTTTAAGGTTTTGAGAAAGTGAGTGATGGTTTCAAGAAATGTGTTTTAGCAATTCAGAAAAACTGTAGGCTAATACATTTCCACTTTTCATGAATAGGCTAAACCTTAATTTCAACTGTAGAGGGCAGTAAAGTTTTAAACTAGAGCTCTAACTGTTCCAAATCCTTTGGAAGCTCATTTCTGTTCGTAAATCCTAATTATGACTACGAGATAGTCATAATAATGAAGAAAAAACAACAACACATTATATGAGATACAAAGTCATAGCCTATTAATGAGATTAAAAGTCATAACTACAAAAAAAAAAAAACTTTTAATTTCACAATGAATTTGTATCTCTTAATTTCCACATAGTATGTCTTAATTTAAACCGTTATGTTAACCTTATCTTATAAATTACTTTATTACTTTTTAATGTGTCGGAAATTAGCTCCCGCTAATCTGTATTTATTTTAGGCAGGCTTTATTTTTTTTATTTTTTTTTTTAGATTAATTTGTTTAGCTTGGTTATTTGCCTTGGAGCCTTGAGATTTTTGAATGAGCTTATTAAGGTTAGATCGCTGTCGCAGATGTCTGTTATATTCATGAGATGCCGTGGGACTTTTATTTTGTCAGCTTCTGTCACACTGTTTACAATCTGCACTGCTTCCGACTTCCCGCGACCCAAACAAACTTCAGCATGTTTGCACGTCAAATGTAAGTTTATATTTATCAAACGCTTATGAACACAGCTGTCATTTATTTATATCTCAACGCATGGTTTATTCTGTGTCTTTATAAGGGGCTGTGTCTGTCATAACCTGTTTCCGGTGTAGAAAAGGTTGTATTGGTAGTTTAGCTGTAGCTGACCGGCTAACTCGCAGTTATTGAAATCAAGTCATAAGAACATTAAATCACATTTAACTTTTCACTTGTTTATCAAATAAGTTTAACTATATCATATTTACATATTATCACGAAGAGTTAGAATCATGAGATGTAGAATGGATCTTATTAATGTTTTTATTTTATTTATTCTTTATTTTAACTGTTTACTTTGGCTTTAACAATCCACTTGAACTTTGGTAATGTCTTGGTAATATTTGTTTTCATTACCTTTAGCTTCATGTGCAACTTTATTTTTTTTAACCCTTTGATGTATGAGTTATTAAATCACAAAGAGAAACAAATTCTTAATGTCTAGTTTTACAATGTGTAACCATAACGCCTATAATAATAATAACAAAACAATAATAATACATTATATTTATATTATTATAATATTATTATTATTACATGATTTATTTTATTATGACGTTTGGTTACATAATAACAATGCAATTTATAATAATAATAATAACTAATAATTTATTGTGATTTATAAATGTATTATTGTGATTTATGAAATCAAAAGTTACACTGAACTTCAATAGATGATATAGGCTAACTCTCTCTATATACATATGTATTGATATATGTATCCATATACTTCTTTAAATATATAAATTAATCCAAGTATAACTGAAACGGGTGAGGTGTATAAGTGCTTTATTATTTTGCAGGTATCAGCACTGAAGAAGCCACTGTCCTGCCATGTCGAGTGGCTATAAGCCAGATATCCTGTGGTCCCCCCATCACGCAGACCGTTATGTGATCTGTGACAATGAACTCAGTCTGTATCGGATCGGACCCGCAGGAAGCTCAGAAACCAAAGCTGGCGCCCTTCCGTTATCCGAGGAGACGGCGGCCACGCTGCTGGCCATCAACTCCGACACCCCGTATATGAAATGTGTGGCTTGGTATCCCAAACATGAGCCGGAGTGTTTGCTGGCGGTGGGACAGGCCAATGGCCGAGTCGCCCTGACCAGTCTGGGACAGAGCCTCAACTCTAAATGTAAGGAGCTGATGGGTAAGGAGTTTGTGCCCAAGCACGCCCGACAATGCAACACGCTTGCGTGGAACCCGGTGGACAGTAATTGGTTGGCGGCTGGTTTGGATAAACATCGGGCTGATTTTTCTGTTCTGATATGGGACATCAGCAGTAAGTTTTCCCCCGAAGCAGTGCCCGCCGAGAAGGTTCGCATGTCCGGGGACTCAGACTCTGGGCCAGTGGTGACCAAACCGCTGTACGAGCTGGGTCAGAACGACGCCTGTCTTTCTCTTTGTTGGCTTCCGCGTGAGCATCAGAAGTTGCTCTTGGCCGGGATGCACAGGAATCTGGCCATCTTTGACCTGCGCAACACCAGCCAGAAGACGTTTGTGAACACCAAGGCCATCCAGGGGGTGACGGTGGACCCTCACTTTCAGGATCGTGTGGCATCCTTCTACGAAGGCCAGGTGGCAATCTGGGATTTGCGCAAATTTGAAAAACCAGTCTTCACTTTGACCGAGCAGCCCAAACCTTTGACTAAAGTGGCTTGGTGTCCCACTCGTATGGGTCTGCTAGCAACGCTCACTCGGGACAGCAACATCATCCGGCTGTACGACATGCAGCACACGCCCATGCCGTTCGGCGACGAGGTGGAGCCCACCATCATCGAGCGCAGCGTGCAGCCTTGCAGCGAGAGCATCATCAGCAGCTTCGCCTGGCATCCGTCGGCACAGAACCGCATGGTGGTGGTGTCGCCCAACCGGGTCATGAACGACTTCACCGTCTTCGAGCGCATTTCGCTGGCCTGGAGCTCCACCACTTCGCTGATGTGGGCGTGTGGGCGGCACCTCTACGAGTGCGCAGAGGACGCCGGACAGGGCTCAGCCGCTGCTGAAAAGGACATCGCCACTAAGATGAGGGAGCGAGCGCAGTCCCGCTATGGCCACGACACCGTCCAGGTGTGGCGGAACCACTTGCTGGCCGGAGGAGACGACCCGCAGCTGAGGTCGCTCTGGTACACACTCCATTA